TTAAGGTCCTGGTGGCTGCAGCAGCCAGGATCCAGCATCCAGCAAACTCTCCCTTGAGACACTTTAAAATTAAATCTCTAAAGACACTGACTTAGGCATTCCTTTTCAAAGCCAATTTAAACTTAATTATTTTGTTGAGAAAATCATTTAAAAATAGTAAATATTTAATCAAGGACTTGATTGATTCTTTTTTTTTTGTCGAAGGTCCTTAATTATGGCTAAGAAGTTTTTTGTGTTTTATTTACTCACCTGGCCGCAGCTCTGATGTTTGAAGGGGCGATGCCTCAAAAATATCAGGCTCATTCGGAAAATATGCCAGAAGGATACTGTCCGACAGAGATAGAGGGAAAGAGATAGAGCGAGGGCGAGGAAGCAGGCAGGTCCTTCTGGCTGAATCGAAATGAAATCCTCTGGCAAACAATGGACCGACCAGTTGCGTTCATTATCATTCACCGCAATCGGAACGACACAACACGACATGGACATGGACAAGGGAAAACTTTCAAAGAAAATTGCAACAACAACAGGCTGTACAGGATACAAGGGTGCTACACAGGGGAGAATATCCACTGGACCAAGGACCAAGGACGAAGGACCCAGGACCCACGACCATGAAAACCAAAATCGTACCCAAGGACCCAATGAACGAACGACCAAGATGAAGTTTTTAGTCTCTGGCCCAAGTTTTGGTGTGAAATTAAAATTGGAATTAAAAGCACAATGAAGCTCAGTCAGAGACAAAGCGAGATGGACTACATTGAAACTGAAAGAGACGGCAAGACAGGGTGGTATGAGGGGTATGAGGGAAAGGAGATGGGCAGATGAATAGCTGGACCTTGTCGGCCTTAGTGCTAAATGATTTATGGCACTTGCCACAGCAGACTACCCACCACCCAGCACCCTACCACGCTCCTTATGCAAATTGTTTTCGAGAATCTGACAAAACGATGAAGTTTTCATTAGGCTGCCATTAGAAAACTTGGTTTTCAAATTATGCCAGCCCGGCAGGCCACTGTCTGTTGCCAGTTTTTCCAAACATTTTCCTGTTTTTCTTTGTTTTCTTTTTGTTGAGTCGGTTTTTTTTTGTTTTTTGACACATCTAAGTCCTGGCAGGAGCTTCGGTCGCCGGGATGATGGATCGCCGGCATGGGAATTTGCCGTTTCATTTGCAAAAATCACTTGAAAATTTAAAATTTTTTTGGCAATTTTGAAAATTGAAAATGTGTATTGAAAAGGGGTTTCTAAAAAAGGGCTTAACAAAAATTTATATTCAAAGAAATACAAAATAAGACAAAAGAGAGTAAAATATCCCATAAGAAATGAGTATATTTTTAAATTCAAGAAACTAAAAATTAAATTAACAAAAATTACAAATTAAATTAGATTTAAACATTTCAAGATTTGATAAAAACCATCACAATATTTCCCACCAAAAATACCTACAAAAATCTAAAACATATAATTTAATAAAAACAAATACCTAATGCCCATTTTATTTACTTTATTTATCAACCAAAACATATTTAAAATTACATTTTCATCACCCACGCACCCACCTAGTTTTTACCGAAAACACACACAAAATATATTGTGTATTTTGTGTATTTTCTTGCCACCTCGACGTTTCCGTCTCTAATTCCCAGCCCTGTTGAAACTAATTTTAAAGTAATTTGTTTTTCCCAAATAGATTGCATATTCCCTTGTCACAAAAAACCGCACATCATAATCATAATCATAATCGTAATCATATTTTTGTGGGATGGCATGGGGGTTCGGTTGGAAGAGCAACCCCCATAAAAAATAAGAGACACCACACACACACACACACAGCGATTGGGTAATCGATCATTAGGATGGGCTGAGGGGGGCAGAGAAGGGGAGCAGGGACACCCTCCTTACCAATTTGTATAAATTATTTAAATATTGATTTATTAGTTGAAAATTTAACATCTAATTTAAGAAGGAGAGAGGCGAACAGATGGTTTTTTTTTTTGGAGGGAAAATTTATGCGGCAAAGCTAACGAATTTATCATTATCCTTGGGCGCATAAATTGAAAAATAAATGGAATATATATATATATTTAACCCGTTGGCTAAAATCTGTATATATATATTCTATATCCCATTGAGCCTGTTTGTTTATTTGTGCGAGTGCCTTTTGCGAGGTCGTAACTCAAAGCCAACTTTGCTCTTTAAGGAGGGTCTGGGTCTGTGGAGCCTGAGGGGTCTGAGGGAGAGGCTGTGCCCCGCCCACAAGAGCCACACACACCAACACCTTTTCAGGAATAATATAAAAACACACACACACACACAGTATGTGGGGGGTGACACATTCAAAGTTTATCCCTGAGCCTGTTTTGCACATTAATTTACTGACCTTTTTGCACTTTTTTTCATAGTTTTTCTGCCACGCCCCCAGAGCTGCTGCTATCTCCTGGATCCTTTTCCTACACTTGGATACTTTTTTCTCATCTCTAAGTATTTTTTATACACTGAAATAAATATTAGAAAATCCTTAAAACAAGTTATTGATTTAATATGTTTCAATTAATTTTAAATACAATAATGTTTCCTACATTATATTGATGGATTTTTACATGAAAAAAATTTGAATAATCTTAAAAACATTTTTATTTAATATTTTAAATTTATTGTTTAATTAAAATATAAATCAAATCATTTGAACTAGACTTTTGTATAACAACCCACTCCATAAAACTGCACTTCACGCGACTAGGCAAGCACAATGCGATATTGCCTAGTCCTGTTGGTTATCCTGGGCCTCCTCGCCACTATATCCTTACAGTTTTTATCTGAGAAGGGAGATGGGAGGGAAGGCTCCTTTTTCCATACCCCCTTTCACTAAAAAACCAAAAAAATACAATATTCAACAGACTGACCAAACCAGCAAGCGGCTGGCAGGGTTCTGGGCATTCGATTTTTGATTCAGGTTTCAGGATTCAGGCAGGACGAGTCTCCACACTCCAACGTATGATGAATGTGTGACACTTTGGCAGCTTGTTTGTTTGTTTATTGTTTGGGCCACACCCCCTTAGCCGCCCTTTTTTGTGTTACTTTGTACGCGACCAGAACAGAAAGTAAGCCCGAGAGTTAAAAAACAAAATAAAGGAAATAAAAACGAATATTGAAGTCTCTTACATTGTTTTTGGTATTCAAGGCTGTAGTTTTAGTTTAAAAAGAGTTTTAAATTATATGAAACTTGAGTTTCGATTTTTAAGACACTTGTGAAACGTTACTTTCTTAATAAATTTATGAAATATATTTTTCACCAAGTACTATTTGATATTTTGAGATTGATGTTCATGTTTTGTAGCCTTTAAGTTCAGTATAATTACTACGAATTCTTTTTAAAAGATCACAACCAAATTTATAGTAATTATTTATTTCAAATATACCAAAAACTTCATAAAACCATCTCAATTGAATCTTCAAACAAAGAAACATTCCCTTTTATCTATATTTTTTATATCTCCCTCATTAACATAATTGTATTGAGAAACCAATTATAATATTATTATAATTTGTCTCTATTTTTATTAAATGAATTATATATATTTTTAAAGAACAAGTAGCTATTATTCTTTATAATTTATGATTCTTTGAATGGAAGAAGCTTTATTGTCTGGGCTTCTTACTTTCGATTTGATTTTGCTTTTTCGTTTCCGTTTCCGTTGTGCAGACACCATTGTTCGATTTCATAAAGCCCACCATTGCCGGGCAGGACCTTTTCGTCCTGTTAGGGAATAAGTAACTTTTGTTTGTTTGCTACACACACACAAACATAAACATAGATATATTTATTTGTCTGCATACATATATTGGTGAAAGCAAGTGAGTGTTTGTAAGGAGAGTTTAATAAATTGTATCTTCTGGTCCTCACACATAAGCATATGCAGATTACTTTGTGGCCAAGGATCCTTGCATGCTTGCTACCACTAAGGACATGCAGCCGATGGGGCCATGAGTCCTCTTCCGTTTTCAATAACGGCAAAGCAATAAACTTGCCTACCTCCCTCCCCCCCCCCTCCCTCACCACAAAAAAAAAATGAAAATAAGTTTTTTCGGTATTTTGGCCGAAGTTCCAAATAACTTTGAACCACATCTGAAAATGTTGAAGAGGATTCCAGCTGGGACAGTTTCTGCTCAAAGGGACTAGCTCTCTGTTTGGTGAAGGTGTGTTTAAGAAATTGTGTTTTATGGAGAAAATAAATATTTTTTATGGAATTTTAAATAATATTTAATTATTTTTAGGTCTTTCTATATATTCTTGTTAACGTATTCTTGTTATTCTATACATCCTTTTCAACACAATCCTCTTGATGATAAAATATTTATAGAAAGTTTTAAGAGTTTATCAGTTTATGTTAGAGATTATTTGTTTATAAAGTTTTAATATTTCAAACAAGTTTTAATAAAGTTCATATCAAAAAGCTTTATTACTAAAAAAAATCAGCCAAGACTATATTTTTAAAGCTTTGGTGCTTTTCTTCCTAATTGGCTTTCTATATTGTCAAGGCTAATAAAAAAATAAGGCTTAAGAGCTTTTATGGGGCTTGGTTCATAAGCTTTTTATGGTTTTGTTAAAATTATTCAAAAATTAAAGGCAAGTCAGCAAATCTGCTTTGGAGAACTGACCTCAAGAAAAGTATCTGACAGATAATCAAGCTCACGTGCTGCTATCCAAGTGAATGACCCATAAGATATTCAATCCAAGAGATAATGAAAAATGTATGAATGAACTAGAAATGAGCAACACCTGTTCTTTTTTCTTTATGAATGCTTTCTTGTATTACTCTCGAAGATAGGGGGCTGTAAAAATGCATTTCACTTCTCGACAGATAGCGACAAGTCAGTGAAAAAATGCGGAGAAGCGTAAAGATAAGCCCATGGATGGAGGGAATATAAAGCAAAGCCAGCGATCTCCAGAGGTCACAAGTCATTTTGCGATGAAATCGAAACCAACCAACAAAGCACTAGCCATGAACTCCATTATCCTGGTGACGGTCTTGAGCATCCTTGAAGGGGTTGTGGGAAAACTCCCCATGTCCCATTCACCGATGCCCGATTGGCGGTACAGTGATCACCACTACACCAGCGCCCAGTATGCCAAGATCCTGGGGGAATCCGGCCTGGAGCAGGACAAGGAGGACAATGGCTTGAATCTGAACGCTCTGCAGATCCAATATGTGGACTATCAACCGCATTGCATGCCCGGCGGCATTCCAGTTTGTGCCACAAATGGCACCGATAACTTTTACTTTGAAAACGAATGCCATTTGGAGGCACACAACTTGAAAATGTTATTCCAACACGGAACTGGTGAGGAATGCTGTTGAAAATATATATATTTAATGTTTAAATATTATATGTTGTGTAGAACTGGAGCCCACGGATCTGGAGAGGTGTACTCCACCCTGTCAGGCCATGAAATGCACGAAAATCAATCGTCCTGTTTGTGCACTGGCAGAAATTATTAACTCGAAACCCCAAACTTTTGTCAATGAATGCGAAATGAAGAGATACGGCTGTGAAAGAAAATTGGGTAAGTATTGTCTTAATAATTTAACTTTTTAATTTAATTATCTTCAATTTACTTTCAAGTCGTGCGTATTCTGCACCAAGGTCCTTGCCAAGTTCCCACCATCAGACCAAGAAAGCCAAAGAATCAGAGACGTAACAAACCTAAACGTCCTGCCAAAAGCCGGAAAGAAGAACCTCAAAAAATATATATACTCCTGGCCACCACCACACCAAAAAGCAAACCTTTCAGAACCCATAGCCCCGCTAGAAGGATCACCACTAGGACGACCAGAACCCCCAGAATCACTACTAGTACCACCACTAGCACCACCACTCCCAGCCCCATGAAATTTCAACAAATAGTGAGCTTGAAACACCCCATGGTCTCCGTTTCCAGGGCAGAAACCGCCTATAATATTTACAACATACCCGATGTGGGTGAGGACTACGAGGAAATAACCGATTCCACTCTGTCCATGTTTGTGCCAGAAGTGGGTCGTGTCACGGCAGGATATAGTAGCACCACCACAAGTACGACTAGTACCACTAGCACCACCACAGAGAATCCTTTAAAATTAACAACCACCAGAGTGCCCAGCTCTACGGAAGAGTATGCAACCACGGAAAAGAGTGACCAAAGCACAACAGAGTTGCCAGAAATAGCATCTACGGTCTATGAAAGCAGCACCGCACAATCAATGGAAAGCACCACAGAAAAATAGAGATTTTTGAAAGGATCACATATAATTTAATATTTATTTTATGCAGGTTTTATTTATTGAAATAAATTATTTGGATTTTAAAGGAAAATGTTACAGTTTGTGGCTAGTAGGCTATCATTGTAGGCCTTGACAAAAGCGTTAAGTATCAGATGTCATTCTTCTATTTTTTTTCATTCAACTTACATCAGTCGATTGAGAAAATATTTCCAAAACAAGAACAAATTGAAAAAATATCTCAACTTTTCATCAAAAAATATATATAAAATTTAAACCATGAAGTCTTTGGAGGTAAGTTCTTCCAACAATTAAAAAGTTAATGTGTATATCTTATGGTTGAAACAAAAACCCTAGATCGTTCTTTTGTGGATTCTTTTGGGCTCGATGACCAAAATGCTCGGGGGAGCAGTAATGACTGGCCCTGAGCCAAAGTCGGTGGCCAATTTCACTTCGGAAGTGGAGAGGGATGTGTGCTTGCCCGAGGAACGATACAAACACACTGGGTTGGAGGCCGATGTGGAGTCGGTGTTGGATATCTTCATCTGGCCCCTAGCGTACTTTTTCAGCTCTGCGCGGAAGGCAGCTGCACGCCGACGCGAAAATATTTCGATTCTCAGAGAGGTCCAAAGTCTAAGCAATCAGTATCGCCGCCGCCAACTTCGTGACCTTCAAGAGGAGAAGGAGGAGGAGGATGAGAAGAGTCCGGCTAAGATAGTCATCCGTTTATTCAACGATTGGAATAATAATCTTTTGGATACTAATGAACTGATCGGCAATCTGACCTTGAATATTCGACCCATACTCCAAGGTCCAGTGGTCAATTTTCCTCGGTTGAACTTGATACCTGAAGACTATATTATGAAGCTACCCCCTCAACGATTCGTGGCCGAAAAAAACATGACTTTTTCTCGTTAATTCAATTGTATTCTCAAAACTAGTAGCATATTAATCTATATAACATTGTTTGCAATTTTCATATTGTTCTTAAAATTGTTAGCTTAAAAATAAAAAAAATCGATTCAGTTCTTCGGGGCTGGACCGTAGCTTTGTGGGCTTTGATTTTCCTCCTTGTCGAAGTCCAAGAAGAGCAGGGACTTGATTCTTTCGGAGGTTCCCAGATTTAGATAGAGGGTTCCGTAGTGGAAGTTTAGAACAGTTCCGTTTTTGGTGATGATTGTGGATTCGTAAGTCTTATGGGTTTCGTTGGTGGGATAGGTCTGATTATACTTTTGGGATTCATAGGTTGGTTTTACGGGTTCCTTATACGATTCGTTGGAAGGATAAGTGGGATTGTAATCCTTGGTTTCGTAGCTTGGTTTTGGGGGTTCCTTGTAGGTCTCATACGTGGGAGAGGATGTGGGTTTCTTTGTGTAGATTACTTCTGTGGTTGTTTCTGTGGTGACTTCCAAACTCTCCTCTTCCTGAACGGCATTAATTTTAATTATATTATTAAGGGGTTCTTCCGCTGCAGGTGTAATTGCTTTTGTAGTTCCTTCTGTAGTTTCTTCTGTAGTTTCTTCTGTTGTTCCTTCTGTTGTTCCTTCTGTTGTTTCTTCATTAGTCTCTTCTGTTGTCTCCTCCGTAGTCTCTTCAGTACTTGTCGTTGGATAATAATCCTTATAAACACTCGAAGTTCCATAGTTTCCATATGACTTGTCTCCATAAGGAGAATAAGAAGGAGTCTGATAACTACCATAACTTGGTGTCTCATAAGCCGCATTGGTCTGATAAGACTTGGAAGAGCGGTACGATGGAGTTTTATAAGCTTTAGTATACTCTGTGGAAGTTACTTTTTCCGTAGAAGATTCTGTGGAAGAATCCGTGGAGGATTCTGTGGAAGAATCCGTGGAGGATTCTGTGGAAGAATCCGTGGAGGATTCTGTAGAAGTTGTCTCTTGAACTGCATTAACTTGAATTAATCCAGCAATATTTTTCTTCTCAGGGGCTATCTCTTCATTAGGTTCTTCAGTGGTGGATTTCTTTGAATCTTCTGTGGTGGTGGCATGTTCATGAGAAGCAGTTGTATAATACTTTTTCAGATATGTAGTGGTAGTCTCAGTGGTTTCCTTGGGACCCTCGGTAGTAGTTGTCGTTTCTATAACTGCATTAATCTTGATGTTTTCTCGGGGATTGGGCCTTGAAGTTGTGGAACTTGTAGATGTTGTAGAAGTTGTTGTAGTTGTAGACGTGGAAGTAGTTGTAGGACTCTCCGTAGTCGTAGTCGTTACCTCCGGAGTCGTAGTTTTAGGGGTTGTGGTTGTTTTATAATAAGTTTGTGGACTAGTCTTGTAGGTAGTTGCTGGCGTGGTATATGAGACTGTAAACTCTGTGGGAAGATTATCCCAGGTTAACTCGTAGGGCAGATAAACAGGACCCTGGTTACGATGCTGAGGACTGCTCAAGGGCTGACGTTGGTAGTGGCCATAGGGATTATAAGGACGTGCAGACCTTGGTGGTCCATAGGGGTTATAGCTGGGCTGATGGTGCATCACATAGGGATTATAGTTATAAGAACGAGCCTGGGATGATCGACTAGCCGGATATCTGCTATCACAGGGACCCTCATGGTGCAGTTCAAAAGCTAATTGAATAAATAAAGTTCTCTAATTATTCGCATTTAAAAACAAAACGTGCTATGGCCAGTTTTCGCAGCTGGCGCATTAGCTTCCAAGCACGATTGCTTAAATTCTGATTAAATATAATATACGTTTTAGCTATTAACTCACCCAGATCGGTTCGGCACTTGACCAGCTGCAGCTCACAACGACTCTTGAAGGTTCTTCTCACATTTCCCAATCTTCCGCAGACGGGGCTTCCGTATTCCTGGCAATTGTCCGGACAGAGTTCTAGGTTCTCACATCGATTGGAATGAATGATGATCCAATCTAAAATAATACACTGTTATTAGAAACTTTTAAGAATATTTCACCATCAAGTACTTACCATTTCCGGTGAGATACTTGAAGCGGGTAACCTCGCAGGGGCTGGGAAAGGTCGAGGGCTCTGATCCGGGGGCAACGGCACACACCACACTCTCGGGACCCGTGGGCGGGCACTGGGAAAACTCGAACTGAGGCTGCGCTTGGTAATACGGCGCCGGATAGTAGGGTACTCCGTAATCCCAGGCATGGACTCCAACGAGGAGAGCGAATTGAAAAACTGAAAACAAGGCTGTCATTTTGCAAACGATTCGAAAGCAACTAATGCCTTGACCTCCAAACAGTCAGGTTTTTATACTATCCTCTTGTCCAGAATCGAGAGTCTATATAATAATGCTCTCATATACTTGCTATGTGTCTACGTGTTCCGGTTCATAATTATTATTATTTATTATTTATAATACTTTCATTCGGTCGTCTCTCCTCGTCACTTCATTATGAAATTTATATTTAAAATAATATTCTGCTATCTCAGGTCTTTTGAGTCATGTGCAATAAAAAAAAGAATTATTAACGTCTGCGAATTTCCAGCTAATAGATGAGTCAGCATAGTTACTTCGCTGGGAATTTCTGAATATTTGTTTTTGGAAATTGTAAGCGAATTCCCCCAATTCCCAGTTCACGTGCTGACTTAAGATCACGTTTCCAATGACATAACCCACCAGACTCGTGGCCAACAAGCTCTCTCACTCGTCTAACTCTTCTCCATTTCATAACAACAATGGAAACGTGATCCATGAGTGTTTGTTTCAATTAATTAAAGAATTGTTTGCAAATTAAGAATTTCTATTTTATTGTCAGTACTGAATATTAATAATAAATGAGCTGGGATTGGGTATAGTCGGTTTGTCCGTACCATTGGTAATATGGTAGTTTTTTGGTGGTCGATGAGGTAGAGGGCGAAGCTGTGGTGGTTGTCAATGTGGTTGAAGGCGTAGCTGTGGTGGTTGTTGGGGGCGTAGCTGTGGTGGTTGTTGGGGGCGTAGCTGTGGTTGTGGTGGTGGTGGTTGTTGAAGTTGTTGTTGTAGTCGAAGCCTCTTCCACAATGGCACCAACGAAAGAGTAGACCACGGAACCTCCGGTGGTGATAAGTACTGTTGTGATGTTTTTGAAATTTGGTTCTCCAGTTGAAGGATCAGTGGCCAAAGCGGCTAAAACAAAACGCAACCTCTTTCCGTTGTCTAGAACTTCTATGACAACATTGTTCTAAAAATATTAAGAGATTTATAAAATAATATATGCAATTAAGATCTTTATAACTGTAAGATTATAACTATGATTATTTTTGAGTTTTTAAGTAATACTTACAGCTGCGGGTGTTGTGGTTGCTTCGGTTGTCGTGGATGTCGTTGAAGGATCCGTTGTTGTCGTAGTTGTGGGTTCTGTTGTCGTGGTTGTGGGTTCTGTTGTTGTAGTGGTTGGTTCTCTTGTAGTTGTTGTTGAAGTTTCAGTAGTTGATGTTGCTAAAGGATCAGTACTTGATGTTGAAGAAGGATCCGTGGTTGTAGTTGTTGAAGGGTCAGTTGTTGTTGTTGAAGGGTCAGCAGTAGTTGTTGAAGGGTCGGTTGTTGTTGTTGAAGGGTCAGCAGTAGTTGTTGAAGGGTCAGTTGTTGTTGTTGAAGGGTCAGCAGTAGTTGTTGAAGGGTCAGTTGTTGTTGTTGAAGGGTCAGCAGTTGTTGTTGAAGGGTCAGCAGTAGTTGTTGAAGGGTCAGTTGTTGTTGTTGAAGGGTCAGCAGTAGTTGTCGTAGTTGCAGGATCTGTAGTGGTTCTTGAAGGATCAGTAGTTGCAGGATCTGCAGATGATGTTGAGGAATCAGAAATTGTTGTTGGATTTTCGCTTGTTGTTGTTGAAGATTCTATAATAGTTGTTGTGGAAGGATCAGCAGTATTTGTGGTTGAAGGATCCGAAGTTGTTGAAGAACTAGTTGTTGTTGAGGGATCAGACACAGTGGTGGTGGAAGGATCAGAGACAGTAGTTGTTGAAGGATCAGATACTGTTGTTGTTGAAGGGTCAGAGACTGTGGTGGTTGAGGGATCATTAGTTGTTGTTGGTAATTCGGTAGAGGTGGTTGTTGTAGACTCAGTAGTGGTTGTTGTGGGCTCTATAGTAGTTGTTGTAGGCTCAGTAGTGGTAGTTGTAGGTCTAGTAGTGGTTGTTGTAGGCTCCGCAGTTGTTGTTGAAGCTTCTGTAGTTGTGGTAGGCTCTGTAGTGGTTGTTGTGGGCTCAGTAGTGGTTGTTGTAGGCTCTGCAGTTGTAGTTGAAGCTTCTGTAGTTGTTGTTAGCTCTGTAGTGGTTGTTGTAGCCTCTGTTGTCGATGTTGGTGCCTGAGTACTAGTAGTCGAAGTCTCATCATAACAGGGTCTGTCTGTGACATCCGGTCGCCTGCTCGGATAATGCCAATACGGAGACCTATAGCTGACAGGAGGTCTCCTCGGTGGAGAAGGCGAGTGAGGCGGCCTAAAATACCAGACCGGAACCGCAGGTACATAATCCACTGCATCTACTTGCGGTGCCTCATAAGAATCCAAAAATGAAGCTGCGGGTATACGCCGAATGTTCTCCGAAGGACAAGGGTTTGGAACATGTGGGAAGGAGTACGTAGAACGGGGATGTTGGGAAGCCAGCAAACCTTTGTAATTACGCCTAGTACTACTGTAAACGTAGCCCCTGTTTCTCTGAGGCAATGGAGATGCATGGCAATAATGATCGTCCATTTGAACGGATTCTAAAAGGTAATATCGTGTAAAAAATTATTATAAATATTTGCTTAGTAATATCTACCTTCTTTGCCAGTAAAAATCATCCGAGAATTGTAGTTATTGAACTCGCAAATACTCTCGAACCAGCGATATCCATAATTGCAAGTGGCACAAACACGCGGACCGCAAGGCGACTGGTTTCTTGTATAGTCCCGATGACGAATATATCCTTCGTAGTCCTCAGTATCCAAGGGACTCTGGGAAAAAGTCAGAACCGAACCGAGCAGCGAAAGGTAGATGAACACTGTCCACATTTTGAATGTTAGCGTATAACTGATGTCATTTTCTCTCCCTTGACCACATATTTATACGTCAAATTTCTTAATTCTTTGATGGGCAGAGCCACAAACCCACAAACACTTGACAAGAACATGGTGTTCCAGACGGCGTCTGTCTATCGGTTACCTACGTGCTCCCATCCACCTTGCATTGTAAGTTAAAAAGCTAAAGTCTCAAACAGTTTCAGATTCGGATACACTGACTCCGTGGCTGCCCAAGATATTGTCTCAAACTTTGGTATTTGAGTCCCCACAAAGCTAGAGAAAAGAAAACCAACAGAAAAGTTCTTTACGCAATCTGAAGTTCATATTCGTAATACTGCTTTCAGCGATGCTTGTTCTACGACTGCTTGTCGGGAAAGCTTTTGGTGCAAAGCAGTGAAGCTCAAAGTTCTAGGTTTGAAAATAAGCTAAAATTTTATATTTGTATATTTTAGGCTTAAAAAAATAATAGCAAAAAAGTAACAAGTTTTTATATATCAAAAAATAAACAGTGTTTGTAATATACTTTTTAAATAGTATTTTTAAAAAACCTGACCAACCCTTCATGATTAGCAACTAGGATAATGATACAAAAATTTTGGAATAAACTAGCAAGTCTGTTTATATTCTGAAAATATTTAATAGCACAATTTTAATTCAAAAACCAAGAAAAACGCCACTGAAATTCAAAATACCAACCGCCGTATAACAGTTTTGGGCAAGCAGTTCTCCTCCATAAACTTCGACTGCTTTCCCAGAATGCTGCGCCTTTTGAAATAAATTTCGAGAAACTCAATTCACTTGCCAACTGGTTGCTGTGCCGAGCGGTTGAATTTTTTTGTGAATTTTTCTTTCGGTTTTTCGCCTTTTTGTTGAGTGTGGCAACATTTTGCGTTTGTTGTGATCGCGAAATAGAAAAATCAACCAGAAAAAAAACAACAAAATAAAAGCCGGCCGGAATAAGGAAGGCAGATGGCCGTAAACACTCACAAGATTCGCAACAGAGGTAAACAAATTAAATTATATTTAATTTCCCCCCAGCCACCGAAAACCCAATTTCCTGCGGTTTCCGCTGTGTAAATAATATTTATTTTATGTTCCGGGTGCCATCGAAAATTGCCACGACAAATATTGCTCATACGCCGTGTGTGATGGGACGCCAAATCCCCCGCAAAAATGCGTCTTGTCATGGCTCGACGAAATTCTAACACAAACATATCCACTTACACACACACATAGTATTTATTTAAGCCAAAAAAAAAGAGAAAAATTTTGGAGGGAAAATCGACGATGCAAGCGAATGATTTATTCAGGGAAAGCATAAATGTATGCTTCGCTTTCGCTTTTTTTATGCCCCGAGATGAAAAAGAAAAACAGAAAGAAAAAAACAAATAGAAAGCATTTCACATTTCGAATGGCTGTCAAAGGCATTTCGCCTAGGGATTTATCAATCTGGTCAGCAATCCTTTAGACCATGTGTACTTCCTAGAAACCCCAAAGAGCTCTAAAATAGTCCTCCATTTTTATTTCCCTTCCCCTACCACTTTCTCTCGTCTGTTTTTTTTTTTGTACTTCTTTTTTTAGCTGCAAACCATTTGGCATTGCGTATACGCCGTGTAGACTGTGTGTGTAGCGGTCCTGTAGGCCACATCCTGCTACATCCTGTCGCTGTGGCTGTTCGTGTGTCTGTGTGTTTGTAGTTGATTCCATGCTGCGGTTTCTGATTCAATTAGCAGCTGCCTGAAGCAAATGCGCAGCGTTGCCAAGGCAGGACATACAGCGTATCCTTGTGGCATATGTTACAGGCTAGCTTTAGGATAAGACCACTAAACCAATACAAATGCCACACAAACGTAACAATTGCAGCGGCAAATCCAAAAAGTGTGCAATAAGTTATGCACGAACCGTTGCCAGCTGATTTATGGTCTGCCAATCCGAAACGAACTAAATTATTTGAAGCATGCTTTCTTGTCTATGGTAGAGGTCTCTGGGCCAAAAATTGTCAGTATAAGCTTCGCCAAAAGCCTTGCACGTCCCAGAAGTTCGTCATCGTTTTTGGGCTATAATTTTGGTAATAAAAAATGTATTCCGTTCTGCCTCATTTGTTTTCTGAGGGGCATGCTTTCCTAGGGAATTGTTGGAAACGAGTCTGGGCTTTAAAGTTTAAAGTGGAGGTCTTAAAAAAATAAATTAAGGCTTAGTACCCCTTTTTTTAAGAAAACATTTTACATTTAAACTTACCTCTTTTCGAAATGAGGTAAACGTGGAGTACCCATAACATATGTACGTTTATAGTACAACTGTCCCTCTAGTCCCCCCAGTTTCTACCATCCATTTTCCAGGACTTTTTCTCATTTCCATTGGCCAAAGGATCGCTGCTCGTTTAAACACCTTCTGCTGCCAAACGAGCTCAGCTCATTAGTTAGTGGCCATGTTTACACTTCACACAAACACACACGAGAACAGTGGGGTTAAGGGTGGCTCCGAGGGCTAACGGAGTGAGGGGAGAGGGTCTCTAAATGGCCAGTTAGGGGGGAGACACTTTCGTATACATGACAGTCGACAAGCGTCCTTTTCGTGGCAGTCCGAGCGCAAATACATTGATGACAGGTTCTTCATTAAAGGACTTACAAGTGTCGACATGCAGTCCCGAAATGCAAACTAAATGTTTCACTTAAGCCCTGTTGACACCATCGGGAACAGACCAATTAAAAAGTGGGGAATGATATAAAAAAAAAGAAATGGTATAGGAAAGTTCATATAAAAGATTAAAAAAGAAACCTGTTAAATGTGACCTTATTTGTTTAAAGTGCTAACAGTGTGACCTTGTTTCCCCAATTAAAAAAAATAATAGGATATTATTTAAAAGAATGAACCTGTTTTAATCAAAATCTTCTTAAAAGGTACCTAGTACCTTTATTGTTAAATTTTATTTTTAAACTATATAGACTTTTAGCTTAAAAACTTTTTAAATATCCTTTTTTGTATCTGTTTGTTTATTAGTATCTTAATATCAACAATTATTAATTTCCTAATACCCTCAACCAAAATTGTCTATTTAATGCCTATTCTGTTTGTGGTCCTCCCACAAAAACATATAGATGATTATTAATTTTCAACCAGAAACCGAAACCGCAAAGAGCTTGCGTATGTTTTCCTCGGGACTCGGCCATGATAGACATCCTTTTTCGGCCAAACACCAGACACCGCCACCCAAATGCCCCGTGTCTCGAATAACAAAACTCTTAAAGTGACCCAATGACCCCACCAGCTGACTAATGAGGCGTCTGTCTGTTCCTGTTCCTGTTTTTCTTTCTGTTTGGCCGGAAAATGGCTCATTGGGGGGGGGGACCCCACGCCATGGGCAATGGGATCTCAAGTGTCGCCGTTTGCTTGTTTTTCGCCACTTTTACAACATAATTTGGTTGTGTCCGAGGGCTGGATCATGGTTTATGATTCGCATTGAAGTTACTTTAGCGGCACTACAGTATGTTAAGCATTTTATTGTAGCCGACTTTCAGGCGCATATTAAATTTTTATGCCTCCAGCCAAAGACCAGAGAAAACCAGCCAGCAAAAGCCCAAGAAAACGTCAAAAAGAATACAAAACAAAGCTGGAATGAACCAAACTAGATATACTTATACATATAAAAAAAAAATACGTATATAAGATGGAAATTGGATTCCATTTCATTGCCCAAGTGTCTCCACTGCTTCTGACACTGCTTTTCGTTTTTTTCTTTTCTTATTTCCCTACTGCTTATATTGCTACTTTCTTTGGTGGTGCCACGCCCCCTTTCTCCTTTCTCCATTGGCCAGCTTTCCCTTTGTTGGCCAACACAAATTAAATGTACAAAATTCGTAATTGAGCGCTTTATGTATTTTTAATTTATTTTCCCAGCGACGCTCCCAGAGCTGTCAGTTGGTCTTTTGATTAATTTTGCAAACATACATATTCCAATGGTCGTTACATTTTTTATTTTTAGTATTACGCGGTGTTGTTTCTCTATTTTTTTTTTTTTTCATTTTTCATTATGCCCATTATCCTTGGTTACTTAAAAAATATGGGTGTGTGGGGTCTGGTTACTTTTGCTTTTAAAATATCCTTGAAGTTGATAAATGATAAGTGATTTAATGGCATTTTTGTTCGATTTCATAGGATGTATTCCTTTTGTAAACTGTAAAATAATAAAAACCAAAATAAAATAATTTACTCAACAATTTCTCTCAAAACAACACTTAACAATTAAATCCAATAAATTAAATACAAAAAGGAGCATAATTGGCACCTGCGAAAATCACCTGATGAAAGCCATTTATTAATGTTTGCATGTGGATTAAATCACAGAATTAATGAAGTCAGCTTAATCTTGATTAATCGTCAGCTTTGCTAATTAATTGAAATCTATGAATATTGGTTAAGTGGCTTGGTTGGTTGGAAAGCCATTGCAGATCCAGATCCAAAGCCAATGCACCAATTAATTTTACACACAAATTGTTTTGCAGATTAATGCCAATAGTATATCATTCAATATTCGATTGGTCTGATTATCGGGCTAATTGGATTTCCACTTTTGTGGGTTTTTCGGCCAAAAAGATTTTTCAATTTCCCGGTGCCAAGTTCAGGTACACAGAGTAAGACGAGAGTGAACAATTAAATCCAATAACAAGAAAGGAAAGCTAACTTCGGGCGGAGCCGAAGTTTATATACCCTTGCAGTTAAAACCGGATATATATCGCAAACATCGGATATAGTTGGCCGATCCTTATGGGAATAGGAATATATAATCCAATTTATTACAATACAAAATCTAAAAAAAGTCCCAAACTTCTATCTTCAAAAATACGAAAGTTGATATTTCTACCAAATACCATTTCCGATCGTTCAGTTATATGGCAGCTATGGGATATAGTCGGCCGATCCTAATGAAATTTGGTAGGTTGGATCAACTGACCAAGAATTAAATCTGTACTAAGTTCCAGCTTTCTATCTTCAAAAACACGAAAGTTGGGTCATTTCCGATCGTTCAGTTATATGGCAGCTATAGGATATAGTCGGCCGATCCTTATGAAATTTGGCATGACGTAATGTTTTGCCAAAAATAGCTCACATGTCAAATTTGAACTCTCTAACTCTAAAAACACCAAAGTTATACCATTTCCGATCAATCAGTTATATGGCAGCTATAGGATATAGTCGGCCGATCCGGGCCGTTCCGACTTATATACTGCGTGCAAAGGAAAGAAGGGTGTGTGCAAAGTTTCAAGACGATAGCTTTAAAACTGAGAGACTAGTTCGCGTAGAAACAGACAGACGGACAGACAGACGGACAGACGGACAGACGGACAGACGGACAGACGGACAGACGGACATGCTCATATCAACTCAGGAGGTGATCCTGATCAAGAATATATATACTTTATAGGGTCGGAGATGTCTCCTTCACTGCGTTGCACACTTTTGACCAAAATTATAATACCCTCTGCAAGGGTATAAAAATAACCAAACACATTGTTCCCATCCGATTTCGTGGCGATTTCTAAGATTGAAATTGTAAACAATCCGCTGGATAAGCATTTTCCATATACAAAGCCTTCTCTTATTTTGTGGCCATGGTATGGGTAATGTTATAAGCCGATTTCACGGCCATAAATATCAATTCAGTGGCAGCGTGGCCAAAAAAAATAAATACAAAAATATTTGTTAAAAAAAAAGGGAGAGAGAGATGAAGGAAAAATCAAACAGAAGCTAAAAGTCGAGTGGCATGCGTAGCGGTATTTGATTTATGCCCAGTGGGCGTGGCATCTAAAATAAAATATTTGCCCACGACTAAGCCACCAACAAATCTTCTTCCGCTTCAGATTTATTAAAAAAAAATAAAAAATCTGAGGTATTGGCCTTAGAAGTGGAGAAAGTGACAGGACTTTGAGAGCAGTTGGTTTTCTGGTGGATTTGAAGGGTGCTGTTAGGGCATATATGGCCTTGGAATATTTTCAATATTACTTTCTTGATTTTCATTGTATGTCTTGCTTTGATAAGGCTTTCTATTTAAAATTAAAATTATTTAAAAACAGTAACACTACCATATTTGCCTAAAACTTTTTAGAGACTTTTATTTCCTTTAAATATGTAAATATCTACCAAAAAACGTATATACCCTTACACACCCCTAATACCCATTATTTTAATCTCCAAACCAAAAAAAAAGCACCTTCCCCCTCCTAACAAGCCCCATCGGCCAATATAATCCCTCTTACCAGTTTCCATGTATATCCCATCAAGTGTCTTGTCCTTCTAAGGATTTTTGCAAAAATTTTTTTCTTGATTTATGCAAGCTGCCACAGAATGTCAATAATTGGCTTAGGATGCCTAAACTTTTCTTCAAGTTTTCTTCATTTTTTTTATTTTTTATTCGCGGACTTGCAACCAGGCAGCTGTCTTTCAAGTTTCCAATGTTTACATTGCCTTGGCCTTTGAGATTTGATTTCAATATTCGATTCGATATGTTGTTTTTTTTTTCGTATTCATTCAAACAAAAAATAAAGTGTGAGAGGTGTGAGGGAATGGCGCCAAGTCCGTAAAAAAAAAAGAGTTCATTGAATTGTTCTGGTTTTTAGGTCGTTTCTGCTTCGCTCGGCACTTTTCACACTTTTTTCTCAAACTTTTAATGAGCAAAGCGAAAAATTCCGGCAAGCTCGCTGCCGGCATGCCATGCTCTCGGTTAAATCAAATCAAATAAAATGAAATTTTCACAAATTATTTTACACCGAAAATATGCAAAAGTTACGAAATTATCATTTCGAAAAGCGCCTTGAGGTGTTTTCTCACGAAATACTCTCTACCTTTTGATACACCAGAGTGATTCATCTTAAAATGATACATTTTAAACCAAAAAGAAATAGAGAAAATCTTTAAACATAAATATTTGTTCACATATTTGTTTCTCCTTTATTATCCTTAAATAAAAGGCTTGAGAAATTAATTTAATTCAATAAAATTATGCAAATTCCTTAACCCGTTTCAGGGTCAATACCTGACCCCTTTTTAAATTAAATGTTTAGCATTTAATTAAAAAGATTTACCCATTAAACTTTTGTCACAAAAAAAAAGAACAGACACAAAATTAAAAGCCAAAAAAAATGGCAAAAATCAGAGTCAAGTTAAGACAATTTGAATATAAATGGCTGTTTTAGCCCGGCCCTAATGTTGTCCTTGTTTTGGCCAAGTGCTGCCTTGGGGCATTTGTTAATTTCCGTTTCCGCTTCCCTGCCTGTAGGCCCGCCCCTCTACCCCCGTCGTGGGTGCCTTTGTTTCGGCCTTTCAGCCGATTTCCGCGTCACCCATTTTCCAAAGCTTTTAATGCCATTTTATTGTCAAAAGATAAGAACGAACACAAAAGCGAAAAACTGCTTAAAAAAGTGGGGAAAAATCTATTAAGCCGCTGCTAAAATTATGCGGCAAGCAAACAATGCCAAACACCTGTTCGCGTGTGTGGGGCAAGTGGTGCTGATAAGTGCCAACCCATGCCAGCCACCCACTCAGACCAAGCACTGCAGCCCAACCACCCACTGAGACAACACAATAAAAATATAAAGATGAGAGACGTTTACCAATCTTTAAGCCTTGAAACTGTTATTTATTTAAAAAAAAATTCTAAATTTAAGTTATAAAAACAAAATAAATACAATTTGTTAATGAAATCATATATTCTTCTATTTTTCTATTTTTCGCTCTAATTTATAAATTAATCTTCAAACCAAATGACTAAAACTAAGCCAATATGCCTAAAATACTTTTAAAACATTTAAAATGCTTGCAAGCAAGCATCTTTATTGTTTATTTATTTAATTTTATTTATTTTCTTATCGTTTTGATTTCCCTTTTAAATTTTTCTCAGTGCCCCCACCCAGCTGCGATCAAGTTAACTTGTTTATGAGCTTTACTATTTGTTTTATTGTGGCTAAAATGGAACACTCTACATATTGTTTTTTCTCTTTTTTTTGTGTTTGTTTTTTGAGGCTAAAATTATGATTTTTTTTGGAGGTGATTTCTTCAAGTGGTTGGCCTTTGGGGGTCTTTATTGGTTCGTCTTTTTCGCTGTGGTTTAACCAACCTGTGGGTGAGAATTTTGATTTAGATCGGATGGTTTTTATGTTTTATTTTGGAATATTTGTTGGGTACTTACTGCGGGTGCTGGTGTGGTGGTGGCAGCAGTGGTTGTGGCAGCGGTGGTTGTGGCAGCAGTGGTTGTAGCAGCAGTCGTAGTTGCAGCAGTAGTTGTTGCAGCAGTAGTTGTTGCAGCAGTAGTTGTTGCAGCAGTAGTTGTTGCAGCAGTCGTAGTTGCAGCAGTGGTTGTGGCAGCAGTAGTAGTTGCCGCAGTAGTAGTGGCAGCAGTGGTTGTGGCAGCAGTGGTTGTGGCAGCAGTAGTAGTGGCAGCAGTAGTAGTGGCAGCAGTGGTTGTAGCCGCAGTAGTTGTAGCAGCAGTGGTTGTAGCCGCAGTAGTTGTAGCAGCAGTAGTTGAGGCAACAGTGGTTGGCGCAGCAGTGGTTGAGGCAACAGTGGTTGAAGCACCAGTGGTTGTTGCCACAGTGCTAGTGGGATAGAGGGTGGGGTAAGTGGGGTACTTGGTGGTGGCCGTCGAGGTGGTGCTGCTAGAAGCCGCAGTGGAGCCTGTGGAGGGTGCCTGGGTGGTGGCAGCATACGACTGCCCGTAACTGTAGACGGCGGCATAGGCCGGAATGGCCTTGGAGTAGCCAGGAGAAGGCCTGGCCGGAGCAGCATAAGATATGGCAGGGGCAGCTGGTGGATAGGAAGCGGGGGAATGGGAGTAAGAGATCGAATAGGAGGGAGGAGCAACAGGATACGGACCAGGAGCCTCAGCCGAAGCCCGAGCACCGTAGGGACCGCTGGCAGCAGCATAGGCGTACGAGTTCTGACCGGCGGGGGAGGAGGCTGCGTACTGCACTGGGCCAGCATAGGACTGGACAGGAGCCTGGGCCTTGGGATAGTAGGCAGGACTCTGACCAGCAGAGGAGTACGAGGAGCAGTAGCCCTGTTCCGTAAGAATCAGTTCTGAAAAGGAGGTTTTAAAAAATATGTTTTTACAATATGAACAAATTAAGATCATTATCTAAAAACTCACCCCTCTTGCCTCCAAAAAGCCTATTCAAGTTGTGGCTGTCGAATTGGCACTTGCTGCTGAAAGGATAGTACTTGTATCCATCGGAACCACAGACAGGATATCCTCCGGGCGGGCAGACGGCATTGTAGTTGGAATCCGTGAAGACATAGTCCAGTTCAGTTCCCGGATAGGCGAGATCACCGTAGTAGTAGTCGTAGTCCCCATGAGCCAGACCCAAGGCAACCAGGACAATGGCCACCTGAAGGATCTGAAGCGAGAAGCTCTTGGACTGAGAACTGGAGAAGTGGAACATTGTGCCTTTCGATGAACGATGAACTGATGGTGCTCTCCAAAATGATTCCCGCTTTTATGGGTCACTGGCAGTGCCAATGGAACGTGCAGGTTGCCCCGATTTTGCACTCTTTACATCACTATTATATTATTTATTTATTTATTTATTTCTGTCTTTAACACTTGTCTCTCTTACGTTCTTATCATCTCGAAACGTGGCTCTGCAAATGGGGCAGTCGGCTATGGTGCGGCTATAGTGCCATAATATAAACCATTGTATTACCTAACAAAAACTGGCTTGTCTTGGCCCGGCTTAGACTCTCTTGGCCAGTTCTTCGACTGGCGCCAGATCTCAAGACGGCGAGCTTTTAAACAAGTTTCTTATCAACGGGCCGGAACATATCTCTCAATGAGTGATTAACTACAACAGAGATAGGCCCAAAATTCAGCGGAAATTGTGGATAAAAACGGTAGATAAGAATTTAAAATCATGTTTTAAATAATCTTTTTAAATTTTTTGTCAATTTTTCCTGATGGGACCCCTGGAAATGTGGTTTTCCCCTATAGGGCTCACTGCGATGTCTATATCTTCCCCAATTCCCATCCGATTCTCAAGCGGAGTACCTTAAACGATTTCTGGGTCGATTCTCCACCATTCTGCATCAAAATCCTGAGACAAAATATTTTTTCGATTTTTTGTCCATTTTTCCTGATGGGATCCCTGGAAATGTGGTTTTCCCCTATAGGGCTCACTGCGATGGCTATATCTTCCTCAATTCTAGTCCGATTCTCAAGCGGAGTACCTTAAACGATTTCTGGGTCGATTCTCCACCATTCTGCATCAAAATCCTGAGACAAAATATTTTTTCGATTTTTTGTCCCCTTTATTTTTTTCCCCTTTAGGGCTCACTGCGATGGCTATATCTTTCTCAATTCTCATCCGATTCTCAAGCGGAGTACCTTAAACGATTTCTGGGTTGATTCTCCACCAATCTGCATCAAAATCCTGAGACAAAATATTTTTTCAATTTTTTGTCCATTTTTCCTGATGGGATCCCAGGAAATGTGGTTTTCCCCTATAGGGCTCACTGCGATGGCTATATCTTCCTCAATTCTCATCCGATTCTCAAGCGGAGTACCTTAAACGATTTCTGGGTCGATTCTCCACCATTCTGCATCAAAATCCTGAGACAAAATTTTTTTTTCGATTTTTTGTCCATTTTTCCTGATGGGACCCCTGGAAATGTGGTTTTCCCCTATAGGGCTCACTGCGATGGCTATATCTTCCTCAATTCTCATCCGATTCTCAAGCGGAGTACCTTAAACGATTTCTGGGTCAATTCTCCACCATTCTGCATCAAAATCCTGAGACATAATATTTTTTCGATTTTTTGTCCATTTTTCCCGATGGGATCCCTGGAAATGTGGTTTTCCCCTATAGGGCTCACTGCGATGGCTATATCTTCCTCAATTCTCATCCGATTCTCAAGCGGAGTACCTTAAACGATTTCTGGGTCGATTCTCCACCATTCTGCATCAAAATCCTGAGACATAATATTTTTTCGATTTTTTGTCCATTTTTCCCGATGGGATCCCTGGAAATGTGGTTTTCCCCTATAGGGCTCACTGCGATGGCTATATCTTCCTCAATTCTCATCCGATTCTCAAGCGGAGTACCTTAAACGATTTCTGGGTCGATTCTCCACCATTCTGCATCAAAATCCTGAGACAAAATATTTTTTCGATTTTTTGTCCATTTTTCCCGATGGGACCCCTGGAAATGTGGTTTTCCCCTATAGGGCTCACTGCGATGGCTATATCTTCCTCAATTCTCATCCGATTCTCAAGCGGAGTACCTTAAACGATTTCTGGGTCGATTCTCCACCATTCTGCATCAAAATCCTGAGACGAAATATTTTTTCGATTTTTTGTCCATTTTTCCTGATGGGACCCCTGGAAATGTGGTTTTCCCCTATAGGGCTCACTGCGATGGCTATATCTTCCTCAATTCTAATCCGATTCTCAAGCGGAGTACCTTAAACGATTTCTGGGTCGATTCTCCACCAATCTGCATCAAAATCCTGAGACAAAATATTTTTTCAATTTTTTGTCCATTTTTCCTGATGGGACTCCTGGAAACGTGGTTTTCCCCTATAGGGCTCACTGCGATGGCTATATCTTCCTCAATTCTCATCCGATTCTCAAGCGGAGTACCTTAAACGATTTCTGAGTCGATTCTCCACCATTCTGCATCAAAATCCTGAGACGAAATATTTTTTCGATTTTTTGTCCATTTTTCCTGATGGGACCCCTGGAAATGTCGTTTTCCCCTATAGGGCTCACTGCGATGGCTATATCTTCCTCAATTCTCATCCGATTCTCAAGCGGAGTACCTTAAACGATTTCTGGGTCGATTCTCCACCATTCTGCATCAAAATCCTGAGACAAAATATTTTTTCGATTTTTTGTCCATTTTTCCTGATGGGACCCCTGGAAATGTGGTTTTCCCCTATAGGGCTCACTGCGATGGCTATATCTTCCTCAATTCTCATCCGATTCTCAAGCGGAGTACCTTAAACGATTTCTGGGTCGATTCTCCACCATTCTGCATTAAAATCCTGAGACAAAATATTTTTTCGATTTTTTGTCCATTTTTTCTGATGGGACCCCTGGAAATGTGGTTTTCCCGTACAGGACCCACAGTGACGGCTATATCATCTCCAATTCTCATCCGATTCCTAAAAGGATAGCCTTAAACAATTTCTGGGTCGATTTTCCACCATTCTGCCATATTATATTAACCATATGATCAATCCCTCATAAAATGTAATAAAAAATTAAACCAAAAACCATTTATTGGTTTTCGCAAAGATATCAAAGCGTATTGGCCAAGATATAGACTCTGCAACTTTCGAAAGCCAAGTCCCCTCATTTTTCATCAGAGTCCCTCATATTGAAATCCCTTTGAAAAAGTAATCACCATAAAAGCCACATATAAACCCGCAACCAGCCAAGGGGAGGAGTCTTATAATAAGTAATAAGCTCACAAGTTGAGAACTTAAAGCCCTTGTGTAAACTTGTACACGTTTCAAATATAAATTTTAGCAAAACAAACAAATTGTCATCTTCTTTATATGCAAATTTTGCAACAAACTTGGAATGAAAATTGTTTGGCCAAAAGTATGGGTTTATGATTTTCAAGTCCCTGGAATTATAACACCTCCAAATAGTTACTAATTGCAAAAAAAAAATGGGAATAGGAAAATTATAAACATGTATTCTGAAAAGGCAGGAAGAGCTGCAAATAAAATATTTATTATGTTTACACAATCCAGGACATCACAAATTCAGGAATAAATTTTATAAAAGTGGACACATGAATGGCAAATCGAAAGAGAAGATGCTTTAAATATTCCTTCCATTTCAAGATTCTGTAAAAAAAATAGCATTAAATTTCAAAGCGAACACAAGTCGTGCTTCTTTGTATTTTAAAGGTCTTAACCCAAGGTTGGCCAAAAAAAGGTGTCAAAAAGCCAGCAAAACACAGGTAACAAATTTGTTTATTTAGGTACATTTTAATAGCTTTTACGTTTATCTGATTGTTTTTCTCATTTATTTTGAATATAATTCATTAAAAATATTTTAATAGGAACACTTTCTACAAATATTTGTTTACTTTCAATATTTTGATGTCATTGGGTTAAATAAACTCAAAAATTTCATTGCTTTTCTTTTCTTTCGTTTCTAAAAACCTGAGGCTATTTTGTTGTCCCAGCTGTGTGTGTGCCTGTGTGTCACGCCCACTTTTCCAATTGCCATAACACACGCCTCCTTGAGGCCATTTTTATTCTGGTGGCAAGCAGTTCAAAAGCAAACTGTTGCTTGCAAGCAGTTCAAAATGGCGAATAAGCTGGGTGTGTGTGTACTGAAATAAATATTAGAATTAGAAGAGTTTTCTTTTAAAAATAAAATAGTAAAAAGTAGTAATAAAAATGACAAATAGCTCATATATTATATTATAAATTAATTGATAGTAGTTTAAAAAATACAGCGCCCTCCTCCTCCTCGATTCTCCTGGTTAAAGCTTTAGTAACGCTTAATAAAGAGAATCAAGTAATTTGAATTTGTTTCTTGCCCTTCTGCCATCCCTTATTTTTCCCAGTGTATACAGGAGCGCCTAGGCAGCCACCAAGCAGCCTCGGCAGCCTATTTTCGCCGGATGCCCGGCCACTTGTCAGTGAGACGCAGAACCGAACGGACCGAAAAAAAAGAGCAGCCGAAGTGAGATTACGATATTTCCATTGTATTCATCCGAAGATAAAGTTAAACGTCTTTTTTCGAGAGTTTTTTATGCATGTGCTTAACCATCATTATTGTTTGCTTTTTTTGGGCTTCTTGCCAAACGTGACATAATAAAAGTTGGTCCAAATGAATGGGCCTAGTTACAAAGTTGCACTTTTCATTCACTTGAACCGAAAAACAGAAACAAACCTATTGAAGAATTTCAAAAATTTGTATTTTGCCGCCATTAATAGACACCGCACGAGATTCAATTATCAGTGAATGGTGCTGTTTTAGAGTTTTTTTTTTGTTAAATTAAGTAAACAATAGAAGGAAATAAATAATTAAGTAGTTTCTTGTTGGGATGTGCTGCCCGTCTTAATTATGTGTCGGGTTTATGTGAAAAGTTCTCTTTTTTTGTGTGGTTTTGTGTCTGAGAACGGTGATTGGCAGGAAATGAGTGCAATAATTTGCAAGGTTGGCAAGTTTTTGTGGGCAAAGGATGAGAAGGATTCAGGAAAAAAAAGTCCGGGGATTCGAAGTCAGTCAGCGTATGTAATTGCATTTACGGATGGAGTAATTTATTATTATAATTGATTCACATGCCCAACCAAAAATAATATATTATTATATTATCCATTAGGCATGACTATATGATATTCTTTGTATGACTCTCTGTGTGTGTGTGTGAGCTTGTGTGTCCTTATGCCTGTGTTTGTGGCATTTCCGTTTCCTGTTTCTGGTCTGAAAATGCCGCCAGCATCATTAACCGCAGTTTTTCTTCTCCTAATTTTTCTTTTTTTTTTTGTTGCTTTGTTTTGTTGTGTGCCCCTCTGATAGACAAAACAATTCATCATCAATATTCAGCATGTGTACATATAATTATTCCCCCACCCGCCGAACCATCATGACTTTGCTTTTGCCACCATTGATTGGCCATTTGTATCCTTTGCCATGGGGGTCCTGGCGCTATCTTCCTCCCAGAGTCTTTTGGCCAGAGTCCTTGTTCCATTCAGCTATTGTTGACAATAAATTTCAATTTCATGCATAATTTATGCAAGCAAACGTTTTCCAATTATTTGTATTTTATGGATGCTTCAAACGGAAGGCGTGTTACTTCTCACTTGGAAAAATAAATATGGTTAATATTTGATAGATATTTGTTAAAGGTACCATATATTTTCAAGAACATTTTTGTTTAATTGTAAATAAAATTTAAGAAACTTCTATAGCCAAAACCTAAATCCGTTGTATAATTCCCCAGACAATTACAATTTCAATTATATCGTATTTACTCGAGGACTCTCTGGCATTAGAAAACAAGGAGCCAGAGGACAATGAGTGCAATGAATTACATTTACATTTAAAACACTGGCCATGTCTTACGACTATAAATGCAATTAATGCTCATTAAAGGACTCGAGTCCTGCGGCATTTGAATTGATGGCCCGCCCACAACATCTGGCCACCGTTGCCTCGCTCACCTTCCCTGGTCATCGTTCGTCGTTCGTCCATTGTACTTAGTCCTTTGGCTAATTGCTTGTGTCCTCGGACACTTGCTCAAAAATAAATAAATAAATAACATGCAAGAATGTTTAGACGGCAGAGCACACTTTCCATCATGAAAAGTTGGACACCGTCTTGGTAATAAATTAATGCCGCAAATTAAAGTTTTTCCTTTTCCAACACAGAGACACTGGGTGTGAGAGAGTGTATGTGTGTGGAAAATGTCCTTTGTATGGAAAATCCAGCCAACATTCTGGCTGCTTCTGTTAAAACTCAATCAAGCGAAATGAGTTTTGATTAAAAATATAACCGAGTTAGGCAAGAGAAGTTTTCCCTAGCTCATCCCATGAGAACATACTGGTACATATACTGTCTCTTTCGGCCCATCAGCTGGCTGTCTCTTTCGGTGGCATCGTGATGTGATGCATTCATTTCGAACTTGCCCCGTGGCATTTGCTTTGTACCTTGGTGTGTCGCAAAATGCAATTAAATTCCCTACCACGGTTGCAAAACACGCCATTAATTAGACAATAAACTGATTTACAACATATGACTAGGAAGACTAGATACCATACACTCCAAAAATTACCTCTAGTTCGGACTAAACTTTGAATAAGCATAAATTGAATTAAAATACAGTTTTTGTTCTGTTGCTGGCACGGCTGGGGCTTTGATAAGAGGGCCAAAGGTCACACAAGGCATAGATATTCCACCCTTTAGCCGTCGCTTTTCCCCCTGGAACTACATAGCTGGCTCCTTACTCGGGACTCAACTCTTTGAAGCTTAACCAAATTAGCAATGCACACACGAATGGACAGCCACAAGCGATTCCAATTCCCCTTAAACACTGAGCGCCCAAATAGTATCACACTGCTGAAATATTTTAAAGGAAAGTGTATTCCAACAATACACCAACGTTATTCCAACACAATTCAACGTTATTCCATTTTTAAAAGAAATATTTATTATTTTTCAGTGCATTGCCTATAAAGAGAGTTGCCTACTTTGGGGCTCTTGCAATGGGTGGTTTGTCAGCTTCAGTTACGGAACCAGACATGGAATCGTCGCGTGCACAGGACGCGCCCCAGCCGCAGGATAATCTGCGCATATTTTTAAAGCATTTGTATGCCGAGTGCGTGTACAGATACCAGAATGACACATACGACGACCCATCGACAGAATCAGCAACAGGTGAGTCAACAGGCGGATACGTGATTTGCCACATGCCACATGACACTCTGCCCATTTTACCATAAAAATGTACACGCAGGGAAATTAAATGAAACGATTTTTTTAAAAAAGAGATAATTGGAAAGTATTAAGGATTACACAGACATTATTCCAACATTACACCAACAAATAATGAATGATTTTCTTTTCTGTGCACAGACTACGAGTCAGATTTTCCGGAGAACTTCAGTCCTGTGCCGCGATATCTGGAAAATGCTGCTTTAAACGAAGGTTCGATTGACATGCGGAACGTGGACGAAAAGAAGGCGGAAAGGGAGGAGCTGTTCGCCACCATTCTCACGGCCACGATGGCCACAAATCAGAATCAGGACGACCCAGCTGGCCAACGGAGTCCGGGGAGCAACAGCAGCAGTAGCAGACGCCTCTTCTGCCCCTTGGACTTTGACGGATACCTCTGTTGGCCGAGAACTCCGGCCGGCACTGTGCTAAGTCAATATTGTCCCGATTTCGTTGAGGGCTTTAACAGCAAATTTCTGGCCCACAAGACGTGAGTTAAATGCCCAAAATGGCTGTGCATTATCTATTGGCAAACAATATCGAATCGATATTTGAATACGAATTTAGTTTCACTTACCATTAGCATTCTAGAAAAAGCATTTCATACATGACAAGCATGGGATTTTCACAATCTCCTATTAATGAATTACATTTCACTCAGAAAAGCATACTTCGGGACAGCAAAGTGTTGTTCACTTTAAACACCAGCTGTGCTCAAATAACTCATGGGGGGGAAACTTTGCCAAGAAACTTTTCATTGTCAGGAGCTTTGTTTAGAACACAAGCCCGGCAACAAACCCCTTTCAAGAATGAAACAGTGAGAATTATCTTTTTAGCTGCCAAGAGAACGGCTCGTGGTACCGACATCCGGAGACCAATAAGACCTGGTCCAATTACACCAACTGTGTCGACTACGTAGACTTCGAGGTAAGTCCTCCAACTTCGTTAAAGCAAAAGGAATTAATCAGAAAAACAAAAACTTCACTCCACTGCAGTTTCGCCAGTTCATCAACGAGCTGTACGTGAAGGGATACGCCCTCTCCCTGCTGGCCCTGCTCATATCGATTATTATTTTCCTGGGCTTCAAGTAAGTGTTTGTGTTTGTCCTGCATCCGGTCGGCGTCCGTTTTAAATGCAAAACACTGCGGTGCGGTGTATCCTTTTCACAGATCCCTGCGCTGTACACGCATTCGGATACATGTGCATTTGTTTGCATCGCTGGCCTGCACCTGTGTGGCCTGGATTCTTTGGTACCGCCTCGTGGTGGAGCAACCTGAAATCACAGCCGAGAATCCGGTAAGCTATACAGAGAAAACAATGCTTAGTAATGATAGCTACGTCACTTGTATAGATATTTTACACCAACACAATTCCAACGCAATTCCAACACTCCAACAAATCTTAAGAACTATTCCAACATTGAAACATTATATAGCATGGAGTACCCTATTCCAACACCGTTCTCCCAACTACTAAATCATGTCTTAGAGAACGTTTCTTTAAGTGTTTAAATGTCTGTTGCATAACGGCCCTATCATGTATCCTTTCAGCTCTGGTGCATCGTATTGCATCTGGTTGTGCACTATTTCATGCTGGTCAACTACTTCTGGATGTTCTGCGAAGGCCTCCACCTGCACTTGGTGCTGGTTGTGGTGAGTGACTGCGTGGGTGGGCATCTGGCTTGATGGGTGGGCTGGATAGGTCGCTCCTCAGCTTGAGCTACGCCCACACTCCCGCATTGGCATGCAAATCCGTGTAATTGCTTTGCAAGTTTGCATTCTTTATGAGCGTGAGCTGTGCTTGGCAGATGTGATTTGCTGTTTTTGCTCTTTCCGCCGTCATTGCAATGGTTTTTGCCCCTCCAATTGATGTGAGAGCAAGTTGCAACTTTGGCGAACTGCTTTCCGTCTCTGTCAAGCTGTCAGAACTATCCTTTTTTCCCCTGCCAGGTCTTTGTCAAGGACACGATTGTGATGCGCTGGTTTATCATCATCAGTTGGCTATCGCCAGTTCACATTGCCGTCGTCTACGGCCTGGCCAGGCACTTTAGCAGCCCAGACAATGAACAGTGAGTATGAATGGATGAAATATGAATATTATTATTCAAAATCAAACTATTTTTCTGAAGCTGCTGGATCAATGACAGTCTGTATCTGTGGATTTTCTCAGTGCCCATAACTCTTTCCCTCTTGGCTAGTTTCAGTGAGTTAATTTTCAAATCCTCCCAAGTATTATCTGCTTAATAGACCTCCTTTAACCAAAATAGTTTTTCTCATCAATGTCCTGCGGGTAATTGTGCGAAAACTTCACCCCCAGTCAGCCCAGCCGGCTCCCTTGGCCATCCGGAAAGCGGTAAGGGCCACCATTATCCTGGTACCTCTGTTCGGACTGCAGCACTTCCTTCTACCATATCGTCCGGATGCTGGAACCCAGCTGGATCGCTTCTATCAACTGCTCTCTGTGGTTCTGGTCAGTCTTCAGGGATTCGTGGTTTCCTTCCTGTTTTGCTTTGCCAACCACGACGTCCTGTTCGCTGTAAGGACACTGCTAAACAAGTTGCTGCCCAGCTTGGTGTCTCCACCTCCGGCCGGGAGTAATACTGGACAGATGGCGACAACCACACCCAGCCGGGAACTGGGCGTTTAGAGTATACCACCCGAAAATAGAGCGAAATCTGCATCGCATTGAAGAGCAGAGGTTTTGAAAACCTTGCCACAAGTACACTAAAAAATATACAAAAGTTTTCCATAAATACACCAACAGTATTCCAACAGTGCCACAAACCAGAATAATTACAGCCTACACAGTACAACAACTACACACCTACTAACTGATGAAACTCCAATTAGTTGGGAATCACAATTTTTAAAAGGAAATGTACAGAGGTTTTTGAAACCTTTACAACAACAGGACCCTAACAAAAAGCAAGCAGTATTCCAACAGTTCCACAACATAAATACTCCAACCCCACTACCCTAAACTCGGTTTCATAATTTACCTTAAGCCGTTGTTATTTTTTATATCTCTTTGAAAATATTTTAAATTTAATTTAAAGCTAGCATTTAAAGCAAGTTTATGGCCTGCTTCTACAAAGGAGTGAAATAGCTATGCAACCATATCCAGTATAATTATGGGAATCAAGTAGTTGAATTTAGAGATTCACGGTCCTAAAAAAATGATTTTAAATAAAGAAAAACGCTAAAACAATATAATATTTTGAGATATACATACATGTGTTATAATCAACTCCAGTGAGACAACATACGTATGCGAATGTACCTAAAAAAAATATTTTTTTTCGACCATCCCACAAAGATATTACGATAATTATATATACAAATGATATATACAGATATGTGTAATGTTATTGCTGTACAATTTATGATATACTATCTAATGTATTCACTTAACCAAACACTCTCAAGTAGTGAATAAATCATGTTAACTGCAAATGGGGTACTGGAGGGCTTTTATTGGTACACTGGAAATAAAAATGCTGTTGAAGTTGTTGTTTTTTTTGGTAAATTTTTCATTCAATTTTATTTCATTTTTTTGTGGTTTTTTTTGTTGTGTTTGCACGTTTTGTCATATTTTTATTTTATTTTGTATATCATTGCTTGCCGGCGTTTTATTTTTTTTTGGTTTTTAGGTTTTGTTATCGATTTGTTATCGTTTGGATTTCGATTTTGTTTTATGAAAGAGCAAAAGAGTGTAGAACAAAACTAATACATACAATAAAATACAAATATAATAATAATTATACATACATTCATATAATTTATATGTACGAGTATAGTAAAATTTACGTTTGATCGCATTTCTCGATTTATGATTTATTCTTATTTTGTTTTTTTTTTTGGTTTTTGCAATATAAGTTATATAATAATATGCATCTAAATGTGTGTGTTTGAGTGTTTTCGTGTCGATATCCTTTCATCCGGAATCCGTTTACTTCATCGAGACATATGTTGTGGGGCTGTCGGATGTGTTAGTACAAATAAATACGAAATAGATCTACTCAGGGGCTACGAATACAATATCGAAATGTGAGTAAGTAAGCATTTTATATAAAGTAATTAATGCGGTATGTGGTGGTTAACTAATTGGTTAATTAAGAGTCCAAGGTTGGCCCGAGGATCTGCACAAAAATATATATATTATTTTAATGTATTTATTTAAGTGTATTAGCATGATACGCTATAGACAATCATAATTAGCATACACAATCAAATGGATAAATGGATAATAATTAATTAATTAAGTTTGAAGTTTAAGTTCGGATTCATTTGTATTTTTTGTGATCTCTTGTTTTTGCATACTTGGCTTAACGATTATCGATTTTCTTATTCACAAAATTGATTTAAATATTCATGCGATTTTGTTTTTTATATATATTTCTATATATATTTAGTTACATATATCATTTTTTGGTTTTTGTTTTTTGTTTGGGCGCGTTCCGTTGACAAAGCGGCTACGTATATTTTCTCCTCATCTCGTTTTATTTTTTAACTAATCTCTGGGTTCTTATTTTTAAGATTTTTTGCGATTTTGTTTTTTGTTGCCAAAAAAACTGCTTGTAAAAAGTCCAAGTCGCGAACTGCTTCGGCTTGCACTGCTTCTTGGCAACAGTGGGCGCAATTTGTATGTGTTTACCGTGCCTTTTAGCCTTTGGCGGCGATTTTTTGTTTGTTTTGGCCTTTTCTCCTATTTTTTGTATTTTTTTGCATATTCTGTCGCATGATTTCCGTTTTGTCCGCTTACAAACTAAATTGAAGTTTTCCATATTCGCTAATTTGCATACAATTGTCGTCTTTCGTCACCAATACCAAGACGTGACGCCTGTCGCGATTAGCTTAGATTCGAATCGATGAAATTGTCGTCTTACGTGACTAGATTTTAGTGTATATCAATAAAAATGTTGGAAGTTGATGTCTTTATCTTTTTCAATATCATTTATAATGTAGACTCGGGAGGCATCTCTGCTCTCGCCACTAAATTGTTTAGTTTTCGGGCTGAAGTTTTTGTTTTTTAAGATTCTAGTTTTCTTCAAATTCTTTGTTCGTAATTTTTGTTTTGTGTGTGTGTGAGTTTTCTTGGGCTATCTTTTTTTCTATATAAGTAGACATATATATATATATATATATAGATATATAAATATGTATCTTGTATTTAATTTTTAAATGCATTTCATGCTTAGTTGATGATTTTCATTGCTGGGTTCAGTTTTTCCTTATCTTTTTTTTCATTATTTTAGTTTTTCATCTTTCCATTTTCACTAAAATTAATATCGAATATCGAAGAACCTCCAATAACTCATCGGTGTGCGGTGTTTTGAATCTAGTTCGATTTGTTCTGATTCAGTTTGCGAACAAAAAACACATGTGACATGACTAATTCGTTATTTCGTTAGTTAAATATTGTAGTGTTAGGTAAATTGTAAGTCGTAAAGAAAGCACTTATGCGTGCCAACTATATGAATTTGAATGTGACCGAGTCGCTGAGTTGCGATTTGTACAACTGTCCATTTTCATATTTTCTTTCTGTCCATCCACATATATATATATACTATATATATTTGTTTAATTTGGTTTCTTTTTTGTGTATTTTTTTTAGTCAGCATTGGGCCAAAACAGCCAACTCGCGCCACATCTCTATATTGCTTTTGTGAATGACACACACGCGTTCGCATTTTCGGCGATGCGGCGGTTATTTTGCGGGTAATGGATATAGTTTTGATTACTTGATAATATTTCATATGCCATTATTCATTATTTTGAGTATTGAATAGGTTAACTAGTCGCCGGGAAGTGGATATTACACGAATCGATAGACCCCAGGGCTGCATTTACCCGCTGCGATCGAAACCTGCCAATCGCACTGCTTACTCCTATCGGGTCTATCGCTATCGGTATTTCGGATCGTAATTTTTGGTATTTTTTTAATGTATTTCACATTTTTGACTTTTGTTCATATTTTCCATTAGATTTCAAGTATTCCATGTAAATGTATATACCGTATACATATATATATTTATGTATATATGTATATATATATATATATTAATAAATTTTACTATAAATCTTTGTTTAAAAAATTTTACATCATTATATATTTAAAAATTTGGTGTTTTCAATTTGCGTTCGCAACTTCCTCATAGCTTGAGTATTTTTTTTTTTGTAGTTTACCTTACTTTTCCCTAATTTAAAGTATTTTGTTTTTGCCTTCAGTGGTTTTTGGTATTTTTTTTTAGCCAAAGAGGTCAAGTGCCATGTAGATGTGGCCTTGACCTTAGGCCCTAAACACACCGAAAGACATTTTGAGTTTTTTTTTAAAAAAGATGTTTATTTTTTACTCCACTAGCTCTTGTCTTATTTTTGTTTATTTTATATACTGTTTTGTTTTTATTTTTTCTTGAAACTACAGACACACACATTGATTGTTAGTAGACTCTATGAAATGATCTTTGTTTTCGGATTGCATAAAACTATAATGCTGAAGAAATGTGAAAATGTAGAAAACTAGGCGGCTCTTTTGGTTTTATTCTTTTTTAAGTATGTAGTTCGATGCGTTCGTACATTTATCATAATTACCTATATCTTCTTTTTTCTTTCAGAGTGTGATTAGAGATATTTCATATATATATATGCGTAAAACTTAGTTAAAACTTAAGTCGTACTTTATAGATCGCTCAAACTTAGTTCATTATATATTTCTCAAATATCTTTTGTATAAATGCGAGTGCTGTTGTTATTGTTGTTGTAGTAGTAACTAGATCTGTGTGTGTGTGTGTGGGTGGTTGGGTGGCTGGTTGGTTGAGAGTGGGTTGGGGGTGGTACCGATTTTCCATTTATAAGATATCCAATATTTTCCTGCGGGGGCTGTTGTGTTTCTTTGTTCTTCATTTTGATTTTTTTAATTTAAGGGAAAAAAAGAAAACAAATTTTTGTGTTTTTTTTTAGTTTTTTCGTGTTTTTACTTCATTTTTTTTGCATAGTTTTTGGAATAAGTCACACATTTATTTAATAATAAATATATATTTTTAGTTGTAGTTGTATTTTATTTATTTATTTATGTTTTTTTTTTTGGTTTTTCGTTTGGTTTTTGTATTTTTTGGTTTGGTTTCGCTTGGTTGCATTTTAATAAGTTATAATAATTATAAAAATGGAATAATAAGTAGGCATAATAATATATAATGTAATATAATATAATAAGTTTTCTTGGTTTCGTTTACTTTGGTTTGCACTTGACGAATACGAATACGAATATTGAATATACTTTGGTTCTCCTTAGACGACGAAAAAAATAGTAATTAAATCTGGTTACATATATATAATAATGATTACATATATGTATATATATGTATGTACGAGGTTGTGTTTGAAGTGAATGTGTTTTTTTTGTTTTCAGTGTAGTTGTAGTTCTTGTTACGTTTGGAGGTTTCAATAAATGGAGCCATTGCACGTATGTATAACCCCGATCTATTGCGGCTTTTTAAATATATTATTAATCGTTTCTTTTAATATATATATTTTTCTTCGTTTCGTCTTTTGAGTGAAAATCAATGCGAATCGAATCGAATTAAATATACGAGCTTTAATCGAGTGAACTAGGTTTAATTAATTCATTAATTTAATTTAATTTAATTTAAATGTAAAATGTAAATGTAAAAATTGAATCAAACACAAATACAATACAATACAATACAATATATTTTATGCATATTCATTATAATAATTAGTACTTAGGTAAGCTGAGATAGAAAGATAGATTAAATATTGTTTGTTTGTTAATTCGCTTAAATCAATAGACATTAAATACTTTGGTTTGTTAATTGAATATAATCATATATAAGTAAGGTGATCAAAAAAATAGTTACTATATATTGCGACTTAGATCATTTTCATTTATTATTATTATGTATTTTTTTATATTTTGGTTTTCTTCCCTTCATCTCCTTTTTTTTGACCTTGAATTAATATTCTTTTTGTCAATTTATAGACCGTTGTCTTTTCGATTTCATTTCCCGCTTTCTTTTTCCTAAACTTGTTGTGTTTGTGGGTTGCCTCATTCAAGCTTTTCTTTGTTTTTTTTAGTTTTAATAAAATTATATTAGATGTAGATGAAATAAATCAATTTTCACTAAGATTTCATTACAATTATAATTTAGCATAAAAATCAAATTACTATTCCTGCCCAACGCATAGTTTTTTTTTCTCATTTTAGTTAATGTGCAATTTTGACTATAATGAATGCCTTTTTGTTATGCAAATCAGTAATCCAGGGATAGAGGAATGTCTATTAGTTAGTTTCCATTTTTTTTTTTGAATAGTTTTTAATAATCCTGTTAAATCATACAGATCATTGAGTACGAGTATTGGAGAGGTCTTGTCCTGGATAAGGATACATCGGATTGAGTTGCCGCCTAAGTGGTCTTGGTCTTGTTAGTCTTAAAGCTGACCTGAAGCACTCGGTTGCCCAGGGTGTAGCCGTTCAAGGACTGAATGGCCACCACGGCCTCATCGTAATTGGTCATGGTCACGAATCCGAATCCCTTGCACTTGCTCGTCTGCAGATCCCGGATCACCTTCACCGACTGCACGGCACCGAACGGACCAAACAGCTGCCACAGTACGTTCTCTTCGGTTTCCGGGGCCAGGTTATAAACGAATATACACCATCCGGATCCGGTCATTGCATTTCCGGGCAAGATCGAGTTGGCCAACAAATCGCCAGCCAGTGGTGAGTACCTAGAAAGGGTTTTTTTAAATTAATTTATTAATTTTTTATACACACATAAGTCTTAAACATCAACAGGAGCTTTCTTTTGTTCAAATTTCTATTCAAATCTCACACATCCCTCCATAACACTTATTATTATTTTCTAAAGTTTTCTTTATGGGATTTTAAAGGTTCATGCTCATTTTTGGTTTTAGGCTTTTAGTTTCATTTCTTGGTGGTTTCTTCTTCAGTTTTTATTTAATTAATCAAGAAAAGATCAACACATAAATGTAGTGACTAATCAAAAGAGTAGATTTAAGGAAAAGCATTATAAAAATGGAAAGAAAAACATGTTTCAAGTTATGAAGAAACAATATTTTAGACAAAAGAAAATGAAAACCAACCTATTTAAAGTCTTAAACTTAAAATATACAATAACTGGTGCAGTTTATTTAAAATGCAATGATAGATTCAACTGAGCTAGTTACCTTTAAGAATCAAACTAGGAAACTTAGAACTTTATTATTCAACAACTATGTTCATAAATAAATATAAGAATAAGTACTGGCATTCCATAAAACTTAAATAAAATATAATACACATTAAGGCTAAACATTTATATAGATTTTCAAATATATATTTTGTTTTATGCTTTCAGCAAAATGAAGTGGGTTTTTTTTGTAAAATAAATTAAATACAAATTACGAATATATACACTGAGCAATATGAGCGTGTTAAAAATGATCAAGATAAATAAAGTTCACCTTTGTAGGCCCTTGTTTATGGCTAACATGGGACTTTTTCCAATGCTAAAAATGATGATATAAAAATTCCAAAAAAGAAGACAAAAAAAGAAAAGAATAGAACCAAAATGTTGGGTTTTTTGGTTGCAGAAATACAATTACAAATTAGTTAAACGAATTACAAAATAAATATGTTTGTTATTTGGTTAATTTTTTGGTTAGAAAACCCCTCAAGTTTCAAGTTTGCAATATAGCTTCGGGTTGAGCCGAAATTTGTATAAACTTGCAGAAGCACTTAGCCAAAAAAAACCCCTCAAAAGTCTTTAGACTGTATTTTGTTATAGACTTTAGATTTATCGGACAAGCAGACTCTAAGCTATCCCCATCGTTCTGATCTTAACTACAAATAATACCAGCCTCTGCAAGAATATATAAAACTAACTATAAAATATATATTTCAAAATAGAAAACAATATTTAAACAAACCTTATGCGTCCGGCGGAGGGTAGAGCTCCGGCCAAACGGCGGGTGGCAGCCGCCGCCTGGGGGGTTAAGTAGGCGGTTAGGGGCGGGGCAATCTGGGCCTTGGCGCTATTGCTCGGATTATTGGCAAATTTAACGGTAATCGGCTCGGCATAACCCTTCGGGGTCTTGCCATTTAACTCCTGGATGGCCCTTTCGGCTTCGTTGCGCTGATCAAAGCGTATAAAGCCCACGCCCTTCGATAGACCTGAATATACACACATTTTAATATTTAATTTAATGAATTACAAATAATAACGTACCGGAAATATTATCACAGAGTATACGAGATGTAATTATTTTGCCATACGATGCAAACATCCCCTCCAAGTCTGGTTGTGATAGATTCTTCGGAAGACCCGATACATATAAATTAGCACCCTTAATAGATTCTGAGCTTGGACGGGCGTATGATACTTTAATAACCTTATTCTGCAAACGCAAACCGTTCAGGGTGTTCACAGCCTTCTCAGCATCCTCGGCCCGCACATAGTTAACAAAGCCATAGCCCAGACTCTGGCCTATAACAAAATATATATTACACATTAATTTTCAAATTATTTTCGAATATTATTTGATCTTACCTTGCTGCAGTGCCGGATTGAGAGCGGTCAACGATGCTGGCAAGACTGAAAAGCGATATTTTCAAGGAATTAGTTTTAAAATTTATTATAATCTTAAAAGAAACTCAACAAACATGCTTTAGAAATCTTGCAAAAAATATAAATATCCGGTACTCTGTGTAAGCAGTACTCAAGTTAGGTAGCTAAGTAGTTAAAGCAGTCCTTGGGTCCTTGAAAAATACTCAGTACTCAAGGTAAGCAGTTGAAAAATATGAAAATTCACACAACATCTACATACGTTTATAGCTAAGTAGTAGAAAAAGCATTGATTGATATTTACCCAAATTACCTGAGACTTTATCACGCACCAGTTTGCAACTCTCCAGCTCACCGATGCTGGAGAAGAGCGATCGCATCTCCTCCTGCGTCATGGTTTGCGGCAGATAGTTGACAATCAAATTGGTGCGCGACTCATCATTGCTGCCGTCCACAGAGCCATTGGCACTGCCGTTCTTTACGATATCCATGGCGTTGGTCATCCTGCTGCTTTGATTCTAGATCCTAGATCCTTTTCTTCTTTTATTTTTTATTTTTTGTAGTAATTTATATTTTTTTGTATGGTTTTTTTTTTTGTATCGCTCGCTTAGTATTTAATCTCACTGCTCGGTTGGTTTTTTCGCTTATAATTTAGTGCTGTGTATGTTGTTTTAAATTTTATTTTTTAGGTTTTAGGTTGCGACTGCGCTTTGCACAAGTCCCGTGTGAAGTTGCTTTGCCGCAGAAATTTCGGTTTCTTTATTTGGGTTTTTAGATCAACTACGATCGCGAAAAAAAGTGTATTTGCTTTTTGGTTTTGTTCAAGTTTTTATGTTCTTTAACCGCTCTCTCGGTTTCTGTCTAAAATTTTTAAAATTGAATTTATGCTTGAATTAATTTATTTGATTTTGTTTTTTTTCCTTTAGATAAAAGAGTAAATTTTGCTAAATGTGTGGTTTTGGTTTTTTGCTTTCTCCGAATGCTGGAATGTGTCCTCTTAGGTAAACTTTATTTTATGCAAAGTTTTAGATGTTTTTGTTGGGGTTCTTCTTTTTTTTCGATTTCTTTGTTATTTTTTTTTTTATAAAATTGCAAAAATGCAAAAAGATAGCAATAATTTGGTTTTCTTGCTATTTTTATACCTTTACTAAATTTGCGCTGGTTTTTCGGTTTTATTTCTTTTATTGGAACTTAGCTTTGGTTTTCAAATATACATTCATATATCGTATATGTATATATATATAGATATATATATATAGTTAGTTGTGTTATCCTCTTGTATATATATACCGGTTTTTTGTTTTTTGAATATGATTATTCGTTAATGTTTCCTTTAAATTAATAGTAGTTGGTTTTATTTGGTGGTGTTTGGTTTTTGTTTTCTCTTCTCCTTCTGTCGGCCTTCGCTTTCTGTTAATATTTATCGCCTTTCTGGTTTAATTCCTCTTCCTGTTTTTTAGTAGGTTTTTAAAAAATCTCCCTTTTTTTAATTCGGTGATCTATACCTTTTTTTATTCCTCTGATAAATGATGGCTGTTCGATTGCTCGCTCGATTTCACTCAATCTGGAATAGGAAATAAATATTCTCAAGTTAGTTTTTTATTTTATATAGCTCGAAAATCAGGTCAATATTTTAACCATTTCAAAAAATACTATAATAGATTCAAAATTGTATCTTCTACATCCCCCTCCCTTCTTAAAAAATTGTCACTGCCATTAGAAAACTTTTTCTTTTTCAAATGCCTAATGGAAATGGAAATTTTTGGGAATGAGTGTCGATAATAGAGGCAATCAGAAAATGCCTGATAAGCGCGTTTCACACACAGACAGGATAAAAAGGACATACAGTGACTGCTGTCACCCACCGCACACCACCATTCCTACAACCACCACCGCCACCCCCACCCCCAGACCTCTGTCATTACGATGAGGTCGTGCGCCTGTAGGATACAAAAAATTGCAGACAAGGGTAAGTCAAAGCCGAAATCTGTTTATCAAACAACAATGGAAACGGCTCGTTCTTTTTTTGTCAGCATAAATGGACAAAAAAAAACTTGCCTAATGGTTTGGAATTTAATTAAATCGCTGATCCGCCACCAGAGGTGCTACCAAATCCCATGTGTAATACCAATCTATATGCATATACACATCTGATATGAATCAAAAGATGCCAGCTCGGCATAATTGACACTTAGAGGGTCCTTTCAAAAAAAAGACTTCAATTCAAAAGAAACAGCTAGAGAATCGTTCGAAAAATACATATCAGGTAAGGTTTTATGATTTTTTTTAATGCAGACTATTTCTAAATTAATGAAGGCATTTTCAAATAAGAATCACGTTTCTTGGAGAAGATTCTTTCTTGGGGTTTCTCGGAGAATCACGCTTTTCTAATCCTGAAACTTTAAACATTTTAATTTATTTATTTTTAAAACTTAGTAACATCAATTTTAATTTAAAATATATTGTTGATATCCCTTTAAAAAGGTCCTTTTTTAAATTTAAACCTCATAACCTTATCTCTTTTTGATTTCCATGGTTTTGTATGAAAATGTTTCCAATTGGAATGAAACTGAAAATTAGGGGTTGCAATGGCTCGAAGGACTTCCTAGATCCTGTGTGCGTGTGCTGCATTAAAAATAGGGTAAAAACCTGACGCGAAAAACAAACAAAACGCGCCGCATGTCCTGCCAGAATGTCCTGCCCCGTAGGCTAGAAGTTCATTGAACCCGCCGCTTGCATGTGTTTATGTTTGAGTTTCTCTAGTTTTTTTCTGGTTTCTAGTTCGTGTCTTTTCCACTTTTCCGCTTTCCACAATCTACTTTGTTTGCCTTTTTTTTCTCATTTTTGTTGTTGTTTGGTTGCAAGGATCGTGGCAAGTTATGACAATAAGGTTGCAGCTCCAACAGCTGTTCCAGCGTTCGTTGAACTCGAAGAAATGAAAATTAATAAAGGTGCAACACTGGCCCAGAACCTCTGGCACCAAGAGAAAAGAGGGAGCATTTTAATATAAAAATTATGGAAATTAAAATTTAAAAAAATAGAGGCAAAGTACGTTCAAACATCTTTTCCAAAATGACTTTTAAAGGACAATAAAAATATCTTCATTTTGTTCTTTTTAAATATTTTTCTCGGTGCCTGGGGGAGCAGAAAAGACTGCTAGAGTAAACATTGCACAAAAGCCAATGCAAACAAAAGAAATTGCAGAAAAATTGCAAAAAAAAATATAAAAAAGGGCGACTCGCCCACACGGAGACATCCTTTTAATTGCACAGCATGTCGTGACGCAGGATAATGTCATGCTGCCAACCCCTGAACCCTCTGGGCCCCCTCCTGCTGCACCTTCCCCCCTGGCCGTGTGTGAAAAGAATAAGGCTAAGGAGAAGCTACAACAACAACAACAACAACAACAACAAATGTGTAATTGACACTTTTGCGCCGATATCTGTGACCTCATTTGCGAATGTGTGTCGGTTGAGGTCCTTGAGGAGGGTCAGGATACCCCTTCGAGGTTATTTAGGGAGGAAAAATTACAAAAAATAAATATATTTATAATTTATTGAAATTATTTTAATAAATATTATTGTATTGAGAGGTTTGTATTTATTTTATGGTCTCTATTGTGAACTATTAGTCTCTATTATGTAAAATTCCAAGTTTTTGAAAGCAGATCTACATATGCTTAATGAAATCTAAGAATAAAGATCTTATTTTGTTTTTGAAGCTTAAGAAAATATATACAAATATTTTTAAGAATCAATAATAGTTTCTAAATATTTGTCTATATAATCTTCAGTTGTAATGTTAGTATTTTCTTATAAAATTACAGATATTTATAGAAAGTGTGGAAATCTGAAACTATAAAAGCCTTTAAAAACTCTAAAATTTATACTGAGTCTCAATTCAATTCGGTATCAATTTATTAAGATTAAATTTAATATTAGTTTAAAGCCATTTCCCCAATAATAACCATTGCCCTTTTGTAAATATTGGACCATTTTTTCCAAACAAAACGGAAAAGCTGTCATGGAAATTTTCAATGGCGACTGTTATCGATTTGTTTCGCGACTGCCCTGGGTCGCGAAATAAAAAATAATGAACAGAATTGGCTACCCAAGTGGGAAATACTCGGAATAAGACGATGAAACGCGATTAGATCATGACATTAGAGTAGAACTTACGTGCCTCGGTACGAAAATGCTCGGAAAATGAGGTGCCGGTTGTTGGGGAAAAATCGCACTGTCATACAGCAAAAAAGCGAGTGAGGGGAGTGAGGGGGTGACTAGATAGCACCGACTGACTATATAATAGATGTATATATTGATTGCACAGGAAACAAAAAAAAAACAACTTTCTCGTCGTCTTCGTCGAATGAATCGCTCTTTCTCTCTCGCTTGCTCGCTGGCTCTGTCTTCGTTGGATGTATTGCCGTCTCGCTTGCACGCTCCTTTGTCCTTCCGATTTCCTTACTATATATATTAGAGTATATATAGTTTTTTTAATAGTCAGACACTCGAGGCACACACTCGAAAAAAAATGTCGTGCTAAAGAAAACGGTCTTTTTTGACTAGGATTTGATTTTCGGTTTTGTGTTTTTCTTAATTTTTTTACAGAAAATAGGTTTCTGTTTTTATACTTTTTTTTTTAATATTTTATAATATTGCACGACAAATTGCACAGTTTATTGCTTGTTTTTTTTTTGAAGAGTTTGTTTATGTTTCTGGAATTGTTTTTAGTTTTGTTGGGTAAAAAACCGAGAACACAACAAATTCGTAACTGAACATACATATATAGAATAGTTTATATATAGAACACAAAAACCGGTGCAGAGGAGTACAAAATTATAAATAAATGTTCTCGAACGAGAAACACAACCGAATGGAATCAAAACCGAACGAAAGCAACGAACGAACACGTACGACTGAGCGGCTGGCAGGACTCGAGTCCTGGAATATAGCGGCGCGAGTCCTTGCGCCCCATGCAGCCGCCTATCGCACATCCTTTATCCTTGTCATTCACAGTGGGCGCAGTCCCCCTTCGATCCAATAAGACAGAACGAGAGCGCCTGAACGAGAGAGAGAGAGCGCAGCCACCACCGTAGTCCTGGATCCATACTATCCTTGCACTGATATCCGCCTCTCACTTGGACACATTCTGGGGCCATTGCTGTCTCGCTTTAGTCCTGCCCAGCAGGCCGGCCGGCCGGCGGTACACACCCTTTTTCAAAATAAAGAGAGGAGATTCTCTCAGGGCGAGAGAACTGCAAGCGGCTGAGCCCAGAGACAAAGGGTTGGGGTTGGTGGAGTCCTGTACACTCAAAAAAATAATCGAATATGATAATTATATATCTTTTTTTTAGAGGAGAACAAAAGCAAGACTACCTAACACCTAATAATAACTACCTAATAACTACTTTTTAATTCTTATTTAAGTAAAATATCCTTTACTTTCTATAAAAATTTGTCTCAGTGCATCAATGCTTGGTGGAGGAAAAGGTGTACAAGAACTTGACTCGATCTGAATGATGCAAATTATATCAGGGAAAGATAATAGGACAGGACTCACTCCAGACTTAATGGAACAAAATGTTAATAAACTTGCAAATAAAACACTAGGGAAAGGGAAATAAAATAATATATATAAATATAGGTATAAAATATATACAAAAATAAGATAAAAAAGAAATAGAAACAAACATTAATAGTATATGAAGTATATAGTATTAATAATAAAGTTGGAATAAGTTGGGAGAAGGCTAGAGGAAAGTATGAGAAAAATTATGTTATGTTCGAATATTATGTTATTAGCTTAAATTAAAGCTTAAATTTAAATAGTACTTAATATAGAATATATAATTTAAATATTAAAAAGTCTAGACAACATAGCTCTTTTATTTCTTTTATTTAAAACTTAAGCTTTTCAAAGAAAAGCATTAAGAATTCCAAGAAGAAAGTCTCAGACCGGCGAGAAATGCTTTCCCCAAAAATTGTCCCCTTTCTAGGACTAGAGAGATGCAGTGAGAAATGGAGAAAAGAGAGAAGGAGATAGTCAGATAGAGAGAAACCTCTTTTTGCCGGGGGTTGAGGTGAGAGACAGAAAAAGGAAAACAGAGAAAAGAGAGAGCACCTTGCAGGCGAGGAATATTAATCAGGCACAGGACATACTATACACTTGCCTGTCTCCCTCTCTTTTTGGCAGCACCACTCTGTCTCTGTCGCACAGCTTCCTTGTTATAAATAATGAAATTTCAACATTTCGCTTGACAACAGCCAAGGAGGACGAGATCCTGGCAGGGGGGCGGAATGGGGGGTAGCTGGGCGGCTGGGCTGTGGGTGGTTGTCCTGGCGGTCGAGTGGCAACCGTTTGCTTTTTTCCTTTCATTTTTTTTAAGGACTCTGTGTACTTTTATCCTTATTCCTCAATTTCTTTGCATTTTTTTTTTTGCTTTTTTGCAAAAAGGCTCTTGAAGATAATTCTGTTTATCCTTTGACCCAATTCGTTTAATTTGATGTGAGTTGATGATGATGATGTTGTGGCATTTTTTCTTTTTGGTTTGAGGGAGATTTTAAGGCGTGGCAGGACCTTTCTCGATTTAAAAAGAAAACATCCAAAAAGTAATTAAGAGCAGGTCAACCCTTTTTTTTTGTGTATTGTTTAAATATGTGGCCATATGTCTTAATTTTCAGAAACACCATTTTCCAACGTCAAAATGTTGAAAGACTTTCAGACAACTTGCCGAACCTGAAGAACGAGTTTTCCCTAACCCTTCCCCTAAAAAATAGTATCAAAAAATATAAACAGAACCAGAACCAATTGATTTGCATTCATTTTTTGGGCATCGTTCGGGCATTACATAACCACCACCGAGTATCCAATATCCTGCATCCTGCATCCTTGCAGCTGCCATCGATCAGGATCTTGAGCTTCGAATTTAGCTTCAATTTATGGCTGTTGCGACTTATTGACATTATTGTCTGGCTTTTGTTATATTTTTTCGCGTATTCCCCCATCACGTTTCGAATTTCGCACACAACATTGCATTGAGAATTTTAGCTCCGTTTTGCAGATACACAGGAAAATGTACGTGTAATCCTTCAAAACACCAACAACAACAACAACAACAATGGCAAAGGACAAAAAAAAAACAGAAAAAGGGTGGGTTTTCCACACTGCTCTGCGGGAAAAACAATTTTCCGAGCATCAAGCAAGAATAGAGAGAGTAGAGGGCACAAAGGATACTCCTCAAAGCCCTAAGGATTTCCGGAAATTGCGAAAAAAAATTTATTTTCCATTTCCAACAAAAGAAAACTTTACAATTTAATTGCATTTTTTATTGCTATTTAAGATTTATAAAATATTTATCTTGTTTTTGGAATTATTATCTTTTCTGGAATATCTTTTAATACCATCTTTCATCCACAATACTATGATTTTTCCAAAAATCATTTTGCAAATTTTGCACCCTGAATTCGCTACAAATGATCTCCATTGTTACAGGACTCGTTATCCTGTCGTTCTTGTCCTGGGTTCAATGCACCCTGATTGGAATTGGAATTGAAATTGTGATTGGGTTGAGAATTGGGATTGACAGCTCAGGTAGAAGGAGTTGCTAGGCTCTTTTGCAGAAACAATGAAAGCAAATTTGCTTCGTTTTCTAGTTGGGCATCGAGTGTTTTTTATATTTAAGAACTTTAACTAATTAAAAACTTTTAAAACATATAGTTTTTAATATTAAAATAGACTAATAAGCTACCCTTGCCTTCCTAAACCAAACCCTTCAGGCAGGGTAATGCCACATGTGTCCTGTATCCGGCTTGTGCCAGGTATGAAAATTTTAAATTACAATTTACAATATTCATATCCAATAACCATATCCCATATTACTAATTACATATTCCATATTAAAAAAAACAGACAAGGGTTGCCGGCAAATGAGACATAACCGAAAAAAGAGAAAACCCATTCTGTTCTGGTAATTGGCCAAATGTCCAGTCTGGGGTTAATTAAAGCAGCTAACGAGCTGCTAAAAAAATACTAAAAAACCTCTAAAAAAGGGTTATATTTAAAGAAATTCCAAGAACAAATATGAGTACTTTTTAGGATTATAAAATATTAAGATCCAGTTACAAACCACAAGATAACTAAGCTTATCAGTTACTGAAATCTGAAGGGCTTAAACTCAACTTTTCTTTTCAAATAGTTAAAAAAATACCAATAAAAAGTAAACCCAAAATATTTTGTTTCATTTAAAGTTTAATTTTTCTACAAAATAGACCTTATTATTGAATTATCTTTTATTTATTAAATATTTACGAAATTGCATCTCAAACTCCCATTTATCGCCAGACAACACCCACAATTATGCATATATCACTTGTCAAGTGAAGTGCAATTCGTCGCCCGATCTGAACCTTATATATTTATACATATTATTATATATATATTTATATAAAATATATTCATTATGTGAATCGTTTTGTCACCTGACCGTTAAGAGATAAAAGAAAACAGGAAAAGCGCAGCAGCCCACCACCATCACCTGCAATTTGTCTCTCTCTCGCTCTCTATCTGCCCCTCTCTTTTGCTTCCCCTTTCCCTCTCTTTCACATATTTTTCATCTCTTTTTCATTTATATATTCTATCTCTTTCCAAAGGACTCTCGCTCTCTCTCTGTGTCTGTGTAGGATATTGAACTCTGACACAATGCTATATATGTGGGGACGCACATACTGGAGCCAGGATTGCCGGCCGGTGGCCGAGTGGGTCCAAAAAACTGCACCACCCGCAAGGACACTGAGAAAAATAAGGATTTCGTTTTTGGTTAAAAAATATAAAAATATGTTTCGGATTTTAACAGAAGAGTTATATGTAAAGGAAGGTAAAATAAGAAGCGAAAACCCAAGCCCACAGTGCGTATGAGTGATTTTTTTTGTTGATTATCTATAGAGCCTTAAAAAATAGTTGCTAATTGAAATATTTTAGCTTTGAAAACATAAAAATATATTTATTTGTTAACTATTAAAAAATAATATTAAATTTCACTAAAAAATAATTTTATAAAATAAATAGAAACAGCTATTCCAGCTGAATCTCAAATAGAAACTTTACTCGAATAATTTTTCTCCAATTCCTGTTTTCTCTCAAAGGACTCTCTGCAAGCTTTCTCTCGCCATCACTCTCTCTTCTCTCTAGCCTGCGTCTGTATTTGTGGGGCGTTGTTTTGATTTTCATAGATTGCGCAATCCATGTGTGTGTTTTTTTATTCAACACCAGGAAGCGAATTCCAGAGAGGACTCTCTACTGCGCATGTATGTGTAATGGAGGGAGTATGCGTGTGTGTGTGTGTAAAAAGAGGAGTGGGGGATGCAAAAAGGTGGGTGGTTAGAGATGGGTGGCTGTGGGTGGCAATGTCCTGCGCACAAAGCGCGGAAATTGAATTTGCGGCAGAAGGAACCAGAAGAAGGAACAACAACAAAAATTGCTCCATTGCATTTAATGTGTTGCCGGGTGGATGTGCATGTGTGTGTGTGTGTGCTTAGCTTTTCTCTGAAATACAACCCAGGACAAAAATATAGGAATTATTGAAAAAAAATATATTTTAAAGTCAAGGGTAATTTCTTGAAATTTGTAGCTATG